TTAGTTGGGCTGCAGAAGTGATTTTTAATTATGTGTATACTCTCCTTTTCTACACAGTTGTCCCAATGGTCGGGCAGCTTTTGGATAACTATGCACTAACCATTCGTGTCCCCATACATAATTTCTCTAACTATGGCATCTCGAGTTAGATAGTGAGATATGGTTATTCACCAGCTGCTTTTATTGAGACATAGAAAGCCCCGTGATCATGCGGACTTAGAACGAGAGGGTAAGCGCCATTTTGTTGCTTAGTCCTTTCCCTGTTGGCGGTAGACATTGCGCCAGACGAACTTTTTGATCGTTAAAATTCGGAAATTACACGTAAAATACATCATACGCATAAATTGGCCCAAAGTAAATCGGGATCCATTTTGCTCTTAGACTTTAGGCCCTGCTTTTGTGTAAAGTCTCCTTGCAGGTTTTCAACACTCTAATCTCCATTCTTCGAACGTTTGTATTATCATGATTGGGGTGTCTTTGTATAATATCTTTACAAATCTTTAAATTTCCGCAGCGCTGTAGTCTTCAAAGAATAAAAACTTAACCCCTGAGCCTTAGTTTTAAGTATAAAAGATGTTTTCCTTTTGTAAACTGAACCGGTTTTCTACTCACAAGTTCCTAGAAGAATGAAATATTTACCAGCCGAATTTCGTTTGTTACCACGTAGTGCAGACGTTATAAAATTCGAGTATACCGGATTCGTTTGTAACAATCTAATACATTTTTAACACAAATAGATATCCATGCGCCACGCCAGTTAACGTTGACCCAATCAGAGTTTTACTTTAGTTTATTTTGCTTCCTCAGGTTGTATGGTCTCAGGTATACATGTACAGTATGCTCTTCAGGAATGCTTAATAAGTTTAGCAATCAAATTAATGGTTAGCTTTCGTTAACAATTTTGTTTGAATTCGGGTTTTTTTTTTTAATATTTATTAAAACCAACATTTAAATTGCAAAGTTCTGTATATTTGTATGACTTCTATGAGTCAACAAGTAGATATCTGGAGCAAAGCATACGATATTATAGATGTATATACAGTAGGTGATAGTGCTAAACATTTTTGAAACATTAAAACTAAAACTGGGATTCACCTATTTAAAGAAACTGTCCTTGACAGATTGAGACTCCAAGCTGCCACTCAAGCCTACTAGCGTTCTTCTTTCAAACTGCTACGCGAAGCCGTTGTGATTGATCTTTTTCACGCAATATATCAACAAATTATGTCTTTGCAATACAAAAAAATAAAGGACCTTTGTCTGTAACAGTCATCAGATAAAATTGTCAAGTTCATTGATGAGCACGCTGAGCAACCCACCGGCTGCCCCTCAACGCTGTAAAAGACAATTTGTGAATCGTTTAAAATTGGCGCATACGGCATGTTTAAAGGTGTACGCTGCTGTTACCACGCTCAGAGACAACATGTTAGGTTTGCAAAAATAAAAGCAACTCTGGCCTAGACTTTTCATATGTGATACCCTCTAGCGGCACTTCAGCCTCGTTCTAGACTAAAGTGTTTCCGATTCCAACCAATTTATTAATGCCACTAACGTCTACCATCGCCCGCGTTTGTCTCTACAATTTAGTCGATAATGAAACTTTGGCAGAAACAATGAGTAGAGCTCGGGTTATCAACAGAACATTGGAATGGGTACTACTGTACTGAACAGTAGCTTTAAGCGTTAAAGCTAGAGAATGCACATTTCACGATATGGCAGACAAAAACGGTATCACTGTCGAATTGAAAGGCCAGTGTGCGGATCAGCGACACCGTCCTGCATTTGCGTGACTAAAATGCATAGAACAACTGGATAGAAGTCGTTAACTATTTCCTACATCACTGCCCTGTACCCAGAGATTACATCTTAAGACCTGCGTCCTTCGTATCGTCGGCGCTCAACGAGCTCAGGCTGTTTCGTCTCGTCTTCTTTGAAACGCTGTATAAAACCAGACCTTTAGAGATGCGAAGTTTTCGAACCCCAAATGAACGTTACAACAATTCGGAATATCATTAGCTGCAAGTACTTGCCTACAACCGAACTGTAAGCTTGAAGGAAACTTTGCAGCTCTCAGCGGCCTGGGCAAGAATGACGTCCTATTGTATAAGCTCGAAAATAATTTAGATCCAGCTGCTACATCTGTACACGCTTAAATTCTCTAATTTAGTACGCGGCCGTACTTCCATAAGATATCGACGTAGAAAAAAAACCAAATGACAGCCGAAGATAAAAGCACGGAGCGTGCTAGGAATGGCAGACTTTACTCTTCGTGTCACGGAAGTCTATTAACGTAAGGATCAAGAGCACTAGGAACTGGAATTAACTCGATAAGAAGTACACATTTTTTTCAATTTTGTTTACATAAAATTCATAACAAAGTAATTCATTACAAAAAGCAATAGCTCATTTCGTGTGCTTTGCGCGATTTATATGTGCGTTCGTGTAAAGACTGAATTTTCATTGTGTTTGCTTCCCGCGAATAAATGTACATACAGAGTGAAAATAATAGTAATAATAATAATAATAATAAGCAGATTTAGGCATGGGTTAATTGTTACATGACATACGTCAGATTTCCAGAGCATGTAATTTTTTGTATGTGCCCTTCATCTATCTTTGCATAGAGACTATTTTACAAAAACGAATCTCCACGATCGATTTGATCTCATTCACAACAAGTACAATAGTACACGAAAAAATTAATGTAATGAAGTGAATCATCTATCTACAGAATAATTATGTACATAATATTTTGCGCAGAGCACAAAGAATGGAGGGATATTATACAAAAAGTGTTTGCTTCGGTCACCAGTTGTCACGTATTTTTTAATTTACATATATAGCGAACAACTTTTTAATTGGTTAGGCTTTTCAAACTTACGTTTCACTAGTATTAAAAGTCATAATATAACTACTAAATACTGCTGTCATTTTGGGCAGTTCTTAAAAGAGAAAAGGATGTGCATAGTAATTCCGATAGCTGCCTAGACTATCAGAGCATATCGTTTATTCGTCAGCTGGTGGTTGTCTCGTTAATTTTCTATATATTGTTGAAGAACTTAGTCCTCTGTTCGCTCTGACGTTTCGAAGGGTCTTCCCACATCTTTTTTGAGCATTAATACTTTAAAATGTTTTTTGTGAGAACATCAGGAGCTTGAATATATAGGATGTTTGCAAACAGTGGACAACAATTGCCGTCGAAAAGCAAGCAACAATTAATATTAAGCAAAAGTACATGAAAACCTCATATAACAACGTCATATAGACTTTCAGGCAGAATATGGTATTATATCAAAAAAGCGATCTCACCAAAAACACCATCTACAACCGGTTCAATTATTTTTTACTTTCGAGCAATTTTTGACGAAATTGCTGTTAGCACTCGTACTTTGAAGCAAATGTAACGAATGAAGAGCGCTAAGTTACTATCATTTTCGTTGTAGGGTTGAGGCAAAATAATATTTTATTTTCTTTTTTGATGATACGGTGTTAGAAGTTAACGGCCTGAAACGAGAGCAATAATTGTCCTTTGAAAACAGGATTAGGCATAAAAACATGAAAAGAGATCAAAATATTTTGCGACTTTACTCATTACTGCGCTAGTTTAATTTTTTGAGTCTTTTTGTACAATATAGAAAAAATAATACACAGCACTTTTGGAATTATGAGACATTCTTCATGTATCAATTTAGCTTGAGGCTCTCAACACAGCCAAACTGACGAATAATAGTTTCCATTAAGTAAAACTCTAAAACTTCTATAGCCTAATGTGATTACCATAGTGGGCAGAGCTCACATAATTCATGATTGAAACGAAAACCACATCTTTGCAGTAAAATAGCATAAACATTAGATATTATACATCTAAAATAATATATCGTATTATCCAATTAGAAAGATATATTTTTATGAAATATTATATGAAAGTAAGGTCCCCCTTACCAACACTTTGTTAGAACTAACTTCTATATGTTGCTACACTCTGGTAAAAACGGTATTTCATTTATCAATGTAGCAAAAAAGTTGCAATTTCTAATGCAAACCCTAATCTAGGTTACAAATAAGAGATTTAAGAAAGCAACAGACTGTTGCTTCAATTGCACCTTTTTTGTTACATCGATGAATGAAATACCTAGTTTTTACCAGAGTGTAGTAACATGTAGAAGGTAGGTGGAAAATAGATCACATACACGAACAACCTTTTTAACACGCTGATGGGGTAGAATCACAGTGGCTTAAAGTTGAAATAAACCGAACAACTCTGCTTTGAGCCTACACCACGTCAAAATCGTGAAGCTAAAAATAGATATTCAGCCCATTCTTCTCAAATTAAGACTTGATTAATTTTATCACCGGAACGCCTCTACAAGTTATTAAAATATATCTTGGTTGTTAAAATATATCCGAGACGGACACTATATAAATCATCAGAGCGCTCATTAAAGATAAGAGTGCACCTACTAACATGTTTATCGTATTTTTATTGTCCATCTTTACGCATATAGCGTAACGTACTAGTCAATACTCTATGGTTGAAATACTAAAAAAAAATATATTAACGTTATGTCTTTAAGAAATCGCATTCAAGAATATTACAATAAACATATGTCGTTAATACTACACTCTGTGTTCGGAAAATTACAATTAGAAGATAACGACATCCTTGGTGGCGAAACGAGGTTTATAGGCTATATAATTTCTCTGGCTTACAATAAATATACGCTAAATAAAAGCAGTTTTTTGGTCTAACCGCGATTCTAAACATTCAAAAGCCAAGACATGATTAATTGCCATATCCATGCTCATATAGCAACTTCTCTACCCTTCGGCACTGAGGACAAAGCTAAAGACATCTAATTATCCAAGTGTGTAAACACACGTATTGTAATGCACGTGAATGTATGTTATCTAATCAATGAAATAGATATAGTCTTAGATAACAGTACAGTGCTTGAAAGTGCAAGCTTCTACCACGAGCGAAAAAACCGAACACATAAAAGTTCTTGTCGGATAGAACAGTACTTCTCCTTTATTATGTCATGTTTTATATCTTCAACTGCAATGAATCTGAACATGGAGGACTAGTTTAAATTTATTTGGTCCAAGTTCTCGTTTGACTCGCGCTGGTTTTCCCTGTTAAAAACTGACTCACTTATTGAGAAGCTCTTGAATATGCTTCGCGATCAAATCAATGGCCACTAAAAACCAAACAAGACAATTTACATGGTACCGCAAATGAACTTCTTGGTAATGCAGGAGAAATTAGGGAAGAGTCATAGCTTTTATTCTGTCCGCTACAATAACGTATGCTTGCTGTTATTTCATGGAAGAGAGTGCATTGCGCTTGTGTATTTTTTCGATACACTACAATTTCATAAGGGGATATCAAACTCATGATGAAAATTCTATTCTTTTTGTAAATTTCAAATAATATACCGCTTTATAACTTATGTATGAATTGTTGTTTTTTCACATTTTTCCAGTAAAGGTATTCAGCAGTGACCATTCTAAATAACCTACCTTCGTTATCAGCTCCCCTGGGAATAATCACATCTGCGTATTTTTTTGTCTGCAAATAAAGATAGCAAATTGTGTAAGCATTTTGAAGGGCTCAAAAGCACTTGAATTTAACCTTATTGAAAAATGATACCGACTTCACATTAATGCAATAAATCCATAGACAATGACTTTTTTAATTGAAAATGCTTTACGAAAGACTTTGAGGTAAATATAAATAGTATTGTTTTTAAAAAACGAAAAATCACGTACATTAAGTAGATTGTGCAGAGATTACAGTAAAATAGGAATCTTAGAGACCATTGCTTAAATCATTGCAAGAATAGCTAAAATTAAAAAAAGCATATTCTTTATCCATTTAAAAGTTTTATCCATGACCCTTGCGAGCATCATAGAGTAACAACATGGCAAAAACTAATGTTATGTTTATTAAATGTTACTATTTATTATTATTATTAAATTATCGGCTTCATTATACACTTGAGAAAACGTTATTATTGAATAGATACTGGGCAAAAAGATAGACGAAGCTATATAATTTAGGTAAACCTTAAATGACTGAACAACATGTGCAGGCTTTCAAGTTTGCTTTGACCAACGTGAAAAAGCGACACCTCCGTATATATAGTATAACTTTGGCAGAGGAAAATCTACCATGGGGCTTTCTGTACATACGGGAAGACAGAACTCTTCAAAGGCTGGTTTAACATATGTCGTATATTGATGTAACACCGTCTCGAGGTCTCGCTTCCATTCGTGGGTGTCGCGAAGTACACGACGAGATAACCGAGTATCAGGATCAGTGTCAACGAACAGCTTCATATCGAACATTTCTCGAACCTAGAATAATTTAAGTCTATATCATCATCTTCGTCATTACATTATTCAATTTTGTAAGTTAATTTTTGAAATTATATACGGAATACGAAGAATTCACATTATAAAAGCATATTCTTACAGTTTGCATTACCTGAGGAAAATAAAAGATAAGGATTCCTTCAACAAGGTATACATCGGCTGGGTGAATTGTGTGAACTTCACCCTTTTTCCGGCAGTTGTTCTGATAATCGTAAATGGGTATCTAAAATTCCAAAGACAGATCAAAATAAAGGATGCTTATAGAAATTTTATATATGCGTTTGCTTTTTGTTACTTATCACAAACAGCAGAGCACGGTGTCATGAGCAAAATCGCGTTAACCTTCTTATACTAATTATTAATATCAATCATATTACTATTCTTATTAGCTACCATAGGGGCTTAAATATAAATTTAGGAAATTTGGACGATGTACCTTAACTGCTCGTTCAGCTTTAATGTCACGTAGTGTTTGAAGAAGAAGCTCCTCATCGATCGCATCTGAAAATAGTCAAGTAAATGATTAAGTGAAAAGCAAAATGTAGTTGTCCAGCAATAAAACTCCTTACAGAGACCAGTTACTAACACAGAATTTATTTAAGAAACACAAATACGACTTGATTTTTAGCAACAATTCTAAGATGTATTCAAAAGGGGCCCGTTTCATCAGGCTATGAATAAAGATAAAAAAAACAATTGTAAACGATTCATTCGGATCCGCGGTTGTGATTGCTACTATATCGATCAATTAAATTTCAAAATTTTGTTATATCAGTCAATAGATCATATCGTAACCACCGAGCCCTTCCAAAGCATGGCATTTTGTATCGAATTGATTGATCCGAGGGCATAGTTGACTGATATTCTAGAATTTACTGCTATAATAAATGTCCCTAGCATATATGACAGCTATACAGACTAGGATGGTCGAAGTTGTAGTTTCTTGGCACGACACTCCTATCGACTTCCCTGTAAAACGAGTCAAGGCTGATAACAACAACTTGTCTCTTTTTTGCGTCCACAGTGTTTTGACCGAGTTTTTCGACGATGCGCTTACATACTGTTGTCTGCAATGACCAACGTTTTCAGGTTAGATTGCAACAAAATACCATATGCTATAAAATCATGTCCATCGAATTCTTATCTTCGTATAACAAGCCTATGCTAAAACTAGATGCTAAATACGTAATCTGAAAGCATGGAAAAGACGCAAGGCGGCTCTTATAGTCATTATATCAATTTAAAACAAGTGCAATATTCATCAAAATGAAAAAACTTATGTGTCCTGTGTTTGGGTTCTACACCTACTTGCGCTGTAACTAGCACTTCACACCAACAGTGAATCATGGTCCTAAGTTTCTGAGCACAAATTTAATATCGGACGAGAGAGAAAGGAGGGAGAAAAGAAAATAAAAGCTCACAGACGGTTGAGGGGATTCAAGGCGCACTAATTGTCATGGTAAGGTGTCACAACTAAATTTCTACAAAATAATTTCTGTCATACGTTTATCGTCACGTACACGACACCAAAGTACGGGGTGAATATTCACGCATGCATTACACACCGAGTGACCCACAGTGGTACTTGTATTTAACTGAATACGCGCATTAGCTTATACAATATGGATGTCACCACGATCGCGTCGCGCAGCTAATTGAGACAAAAACTGATAAAATAAACAAACCTTTCCTGACGCTGTGCCGCCAGCGACTCCGATCAAAAATGGTTTTTTATAATGCAACGCGGGCTGGCGAAATGCAATGAAACTGTGGCCGTTACTGAACGACGGTATCTCCGCGTCGTTACTGGACCCCATGCCGAGGATGTCACTTCTACGCACAACACACGAACGACAATAAATATCTATCTGCACGTTGTCACAGCTAAAGCAGTACAAAAGCGGTAATTAGAAGACACTCAAAAAATATGATATAATCGATACTTTTCTTTTTAACAGTATTCGAACACTACAAAACTAGCTAAGCGGGTGATCTCGCTCGTACTCGATTAAAGCGAAATCAGCTGGCGGGTAATGCCAACCATGATCTATGCCGGACCCTCTTCCTCCTTTGAACCGTTTTATGCTGAATACATAAAAGGTAAAAGCATTCGGCGATGACGTTGAGCTGAACGTATGACGCTCCTGTAATTACAATTACTGCACGTGTGTGTACAATTCTAATAAGTAATACTATGTTGCGTTTTGTAGATTCTTTGCCTTGCAATATATTTAAATTCACGCGAGCAAAGGGGGGTTTTACTTGTCGGGGACAGCTGCTTTCTGTTGCACCATCTTTGCCTCAACTTAAATTACTATAATAGAAGCAATTATTAGAATAATAGGTATATTTTCGATATAATGATCATCAAAACAAAAGCAGATAAGTTCTGTTTCTTGTGTAGAAAAGCCACAAAAAACGTCTCATATTATTTCACGGCATTTGTATTCAAAATCTAGCATTTGAAGGGGAAGTACAGTTTCATTTTCAGGAACTGACTAGGCTTAAAAACGGTTGTATTGCCGGTGTTGTAGTAATGTCACAACATGAATGCCAGTTCGATCGTTTACTATGCCGTCATACATATTTTGGATTTCAATTTACTTTACTGATAAAATTACAAATAGCTTTATTATTTAGATTAAAAATCATTCCACATAATATGTCGAAATTAGTGAATTGAATATAAATCCAAATTACAGAAATTAAAGTCGTAATTTCTTATATATAAATCAAGGACATAATAAACATGCAAAATAGCTTGTTTCATTAAAGAAACACATCTACAATAATGCTTACATATCACTGCATGACTTGAGACGTCTCATGCTCTAAACAATATATCTTAGAATTTCTAATGCCTTTATTTGTGCTCCCTGCCAAAATTTAAAAATATGGATTGAATGATAATTAAAAATATATTATGTTGATCATTTTTACTTTTAATGAGTAAAAACATTACGTGTTAAAAAAATTAAACGAATTTTAAACGCAATTTTGCGATGTTTTTTTTCTAGCGCGTCTTAGATATGATTTGAACGCCACCCGCGGGCTTTGCCTCGCACCCTTTTGCTATTAAACACCTGTTGGTTTACCTATGTAGAAATAAAAGACTAATTATATTTATAATGAAGGTAACATCGAACAGCGGTGCAATGTGATTTGCAAGCGTTAAAAATCAGACAGAAGTTGTCGGCCTCGAAAGAAATTAACACATTCCTTAAAGAATAACGATGTTTGTCTCCTAGAAACAAAACCATTTGCGCAATCAGCTCCATTTTTCGCACAGCTCTTTCCGGGGTGGAACTCGAACAACCTACAGTCATGAGCTCTAAGGAATCGCTATAGGTTAAACAAATCTCCGAACCTAGGCTTTTAGTTACATAATAATATAAATAGATACTCTGCTATTAAGATACTAGTATTACCTTGATATCTTGAAAACATGATTTATTGAGTCAACGGTTGTTTAAAAATATGTTAACCTCTGGGTGAAAAGTAGGTTGGAGAGATGAACCTCATGAACTCGTTACTTGACTAATGATACGTTCACCAACACGAAATGAAGCGGCTTTCAAGTCTAATTGCTTATATGTTTTACGAAAAATAGCTATATATTGCCATTTATAAAGAGGCGTTATTCATATTCCATTTGACGTTAGCAGATCACCACTGGGCTATTTTGACGTACATTTTAGTTCAAACATGAGCATTAAATATAATAATATAATCTATTTCTGAACCAGCAGTCTAAAAAGAGTTTAACTGATCCGTACATTTTATGAAACTACATACCAGTTATCGATAGAGTCCAACAAAATTCGCTTCGAGGTCAACACAACCATCTAATCAGTAAACTACGTTGCCTCGATTACCTTAGTTCAATCACATATACAGAATATTTAAATAACGATATTTCCTCCCGACAGCACTTTATACACACGGTTAAGTTATAGCAGTACACGGTGCACTATGAGGATCTACAACAATTCGGCCATCAACATCGAGACCACAAGTCGAAAAACAGCATCACCATCGTTCACCAACACTGAGACACCAACACCTTTTATTCTTTGCTTGGCTCACTCACACCTTTTTGTTCAGCTGCAAATTGAATGGACACAGCATATTTTCTGATTATTTGACGTTTTCACTCGCATTTTGCTCGTTACATCCACCGCTTAAAACGTGCCATATTAGTAGCTCACTAATAGCTTTCTACAAGTAAACATCATAACACTGTATATATATATATATATATATATATATACGAGTTTAAGTGTACTATTGTTATATTTAAATATATTTAAAGTATGATTAAATCAGCGTGTGTATTGGTTATGTTTACTTCGTTTCAACCCCTACTAGCCAAATATTTTTGTTTAACGCCTCAACCCTCTGATTCTTTTTCGCCTAATAGTTTGCTGATGATAAGGACGCCCAGACAAGCTATTACTTCAACTTAAACATGTTAATGAAATATCTCATGGCTGTATGATTCGCTATTGTAGTCTCAGCCCTAAACCTAGTTCCCAGCAAACTCCGCTGAAAAAGAGGGTTTAATTTAATCTTAACCCCTAAGGTTCAGAAGCAAGGTCATCTCGAAATATATGTAAGTGGACTAGCCTATACCACAGGAAACTTGTATGACTCAAAAAAAATGCGTAATATTTATTTTGAACAGAGTCGAGGTGTCTGCTTTAATTCATTTGAATGAATTCAATGTAGACACTTCGTTTCAGTTTTGCCCTAGGAAACGGGCCATATCGTTTACTGGAAGTAGGTGTCGAAGTGTAGGATAAAACTGCGTTACTAACGTTTATTTAATAAAATGCCGCCTCATCACCTGTTTAATCACACACATACCGAAAGAAAAAACTAATATCAGCTTGCTGATTACTTATTTTCTTCGATACGAATTAATATATATTAGGAATAAATTTAGAAAACAAAAAGGTTCATGATTTTCGTAGCTTCTTGAATAACATTAATGTGAGAGCATTACCTGAAAACGCCTTTGTGTTCCACCAATATTTCTATAACATTTCAACACTAACAACTTCAACAGCCAAATAAAAAATTCAGATCTGCATTCCGTTTTATGTCAAAAAGCCCGTCCTCCCTTTTTTCTTGAACCGATAACAAATGAGCACAAGAGTTTATATAACATCAGAAGAGCTTTTATTGACGAAGGATGGTCGTTTGTCTACTTCTTCTGTGCCTTAAGTACACGCGAGACGATCTTCTGCTCTTCGATAAGGAAGGCCCGAATTATACGGTTCCGCACGCACTGTCCGCAGCGAGAGCCTCCGTAAGCGCGGGTCACACGCTTTTCGCAATGGAACTGACGGGAACGCTCCTTTGGCCGGCCACCCTTCACTCCTCTTAGACGCTCTTTGCAATCGCCGCACTTAGGAACTGTACGCTTCTTGCCGAGATACAGATATACCAATTTACCTCCAGGAGTCTTTGACCTGGGTAAAAAGAAAAACAATTGAAGCTATCTTCAAAATTTTAAACAAGCGCAAAATTTGAGCACTACGCTTCGCAGACAGCGAATATGTTATTTGTGAGAATATGTTTGGCTCCTGCATTCAAAATTGCTTCAACGACAGTCGTAGTGAGGTATATGAGTTTCTAATCAAAGTAAATGTAGTTTGTTGAAGCTTATCCATCAAAAAAGAAAACCTTGATAGGATTTGTCAACTTCAATCATCCAGTATCGTTTTAGGGAGCTTCTAAAATCAGGGGAAAATTGAAGGAATTCGCGCCTGACCTTTAATTCTCCCGTAGAGAGTTAGCATACATTCAACAGTATGCTCAACGTTTACTAAGTCTGGCTTTCGTGTGCCTTTCTATTCAAAGGGTAAAACGTGCAAAACATCATATTCACCCGCACGCAAAAGGCAGTATTGTTATTGGGTGCCACAGCGAAGGCAGAAGAATTCATTTAGCGAACCCTTCGTACAAATAGCCACCCGTTTTTGGCATAAATATGAAGACTCCTTTTGAAATTATAATAGTATGCTGCAATGAATAACAGCCATTCTTGGTACTTGAAAAACTAAATGTTCCGAATATACATTGTAGCAGTAAGCGTCTGGATTGAGGAAACAGCTTGCCCCATTCCAAAGATCTTATTGATGTCGTTTATGCCTAGCTGTGTAGGGAACCTTTGACACACGTCAGCCTGAGGAGAACTGACCTGCAACGCCGGAACCCATTTATTTAATGATGATCACGCGTGCCTATCGCTAGTGCTAGATACACTGTAGAAGTTGTGGATTTTCGATTTGTGACAACCCATATCACACGCATATCTCATTGGGTTAGTCAATTTAGTCGTAAGCACGTCCGGCTCATATGAAGGCATATCACCTGTTCATATTTTTAATGCCAACTAGTCAGTCATCTCACACAATTAGACATCACAAACTGCAAGATTTAGGAAGACAGAATTTGTAGTTCGGGTGGGTTATTAACTCGACAATTAAGCCTTAACTACAGGCATTCAGCAATGTTGACCGCGAATTGAAAACGGACAAAGTCAGAAACCCGTATGACCACTGCAATATAAATTTTTATCAAGATTGTTTTTGGTAGAAGTATTTATTTTGCATCTTCTCAATTCACGGAATGCCTAATTACCAAAAAATTATCAACATCAAACAGTGACTCATTACTAAACTATATGAGCTAAAAGTGTAAATAATTCCTACTGCTGGTGCAATATGGTCTCTTCAACAGACACTACCTTCTAGAACTATTTTCTGGAGTTATCAGATTTTGACTAGGCTTCAAGTGGCCCCAACTAATTGACATGAGTCCTTCATAGAGACAGGTAGATACGAAAATAGACGAATGGTGTAAATCTGGATGAAAACGCACTGGCGTGTTCAGTAATATGAGGCGTCAACATCTTCTAACCATACGCGGCGTTCTTTCATCCTTTCAACTTAATAAACTATCAGGCGTTCGACTTCGCGCTTGGTCGATTCACTTGGATAGCACAGACAAATGTAACCACCATTCGGGTCGCCACACTATTAATCGTACAAAGAAAAAACATGGCACGATCTCTGCTAGCTCTTAAACACTGCGATAAGCCCACGAGTTGTTCCGATTCTACAAGACAGTTGATAACAACAATTTCTACATTGGCATTGAATCACGTAGAATATTGATACATAAATCTCAGTGTACACGTGTATTCGGCTACTTACACCCTCCGTTTGTTCGAAGAGGTGTTGTAGGGAAGCCTACGTCGAAGGACAAGACGTTGCACCATTTTTACGCCTGCGAATAACAATTAAGCAATTTTAAATAAGCATCCCAGAGTAATATTTTAACTAACAACAAGTTATTTTACATGATTTAAATTGATTTTGTCACAAGCACAGAACTGCACAGACCGTTCCGTAAAGATGGTGGGAGAAAAAGATCCGGATATCGAAACTATTATGTCAGGATTATTTATGTACCATGGGTGTACCACGCGTGCACCGCGGGTGTACCACGGAGGTGCCACAAATTTACTAACGAACTATTGTTTTGTATGAAAAAAAATCAGCTTCGTAAATTTTAAGATCTGAAAGGATAACCTTCGTACCACTCGTAAATATTGTAAACATGTTAAAATTAATCAGGTATGAAGTCTAGCTTAAGGTTAAGAATGTAGTTATAGTGAAGTGACTGGTCTGCGCGAGAAATTTGGCTTATTCGGGGATACGACTGTGTCCACTATAGTCGGATATTAAAAACAAAGATGGCGACGCTTATGGAAGATTTCGAACAGCAGTATGCTATACTTTCAGCAGAAATTACTACAAATATATCTTCTCTTTCGGCCGCAGGAGATGGCGAAAAGCACAAAAATATCAGAGGAATCGAACGCCTTCTTGAGGAGGTTAACGAACTCGTAAGCACGCTACAAATATTTTTACCTTGTTGTTATTACATTAAGCTGGTTAGCAATTTGACAGCTCATATAGTGACATATATATTTACGATTTCGTACTATAGTAGAACGGCTGTACTGCTTTAGGGTGTTTTTAGTCGAATAAAACGAACTTATTAACACAATGGAATGTTGAATGTCGCTGTCGCGATTCGATAAACTATCTGATATGCTAATTAAATAAAGGCATAGGACACTACTAACGTATAAAGGTAGACTTTTTTTTTTCTTATTAAGGCTGTTTGTGTCTTCCCTTGACGGTCTATTTTTTCACATTTTTGACATAGTTCTAGCTAAAAAATATAGCCAATTTGGGTTTATCTTTTTCAGGAAAATGGAAGTAAGGGAAAATTGGAGTAAGGGAAAACACAGAAGTCAATCAGAAATATAAATAGTCAATTCTAATAAACTGGTTCTCCGATCTATCTAACGAACCTTGTATAGGTACGTTATGTACCACTTTATGTATTAATTAAATAGAAAATTGTGTAAATACTAAAGAAAAAGCGTTATATCAAATTGACGATGCTGCTTTGAAACTGAACTGATCATTGTCGCGAAATTCCCGTTAAACAGAGTTAAGCCTAAAGTTTGAGAAGGATCGAAATTTTTCTCCAGTTTTTAGTGTTACGCTGTGCAATTGGCTTAAGGCTTCCGACATGTAAACTGGGTCTTGCATAAATCATATACTTCTTGGTATCCATGGTTCTATCATCGAGATCTGATTTCACTGAAACACTAGTTATAGTTTTACTCTACTCATAATATAGGCCGTACCATCACATTTTGAAAGGATCCTTAATAAAACTTGCGTGAATTCGTCAGATCATAATAAAAAAATATACAGGTACGATTAAGTACCGAACAAGCGTTGCAGAACTTGAAGCCATTTAAACGCCACCTTATTGAAAGAGCATACAGTTTAAATATAGTTCATTTTTCGGTAAACTCGTATTTTTTCTTTGTTTATATACAAAAATTCTACAATTGAACAATTTCTACATCACGTATTTTTGTATTATCTATCCAGTAACTAATTAATGCTACGTATTTTCTATGTATGCCATTTCAGCTGGAGCAGATGGAGTTGGAAGTTCAGTCAATGGCCCCCGAACTGAAATCGAAATATGCCAACCGTGTGAGAAGCTACCAGGCTGAACTGAAAAGACTCAAACGAGAATACGTGAGTTAAAGAAAAAACCGTTGCACTTATGCTCATCATATTCTTCGCTTTGTCTGTTTAGCTTGATGTATTTTCTAGCAAGTTGTCATTTCATTCAAATTAAATTTCAGTCAAGTTTCACCATAAGGAACTTTAGTATGTGCGGTTAAGTTAAATAAACGCGTTTAGCTGAGGTTCTACTTGATGTGGTGGCTTTAAAGCATTTTCCCAGCGCCATACTTCTACACGTGTCTGTAATTTAGAATAAACCTTAAAACCTAAAGTTTATGCATTCTAATTATAACAAGAATTGACACTAGCTGTTTCCTAATAGCATGTTTAAATTGAGGTTTAAATATGTGGATGCTCCTCCACCTGCAATTATTAACGGCTCTCGTTTCTTTTCGGTAAATTTTCATACGTCGACAGTTAGATGCCCGATCGACAAGCCGCGTAGATCTGTATATTTCAAGAGACAGTAACGATTTTCCCACCGATGACAAGGCTCAACTCCTTGATAACACCGATCGTTTGGAGCGAGCTACGAGACAATTGAAGGCTGGGCGACAGGTTGCTATTGAAACCGAGCAGGTTGGCGCGGAAATACTTAGCGAGTTGGGACATCAACGAGAAGTAATCACTCGTGCCAGGGAACGGGTAAGCGACAGATTCCATTGGAAGAGAATGTGTCTTAGTTCTACTTACTAGTTCAGCCCTAGAATTGAAATTGATATCGAAATGATTTCATCTCACACTGTGACTTCAACATACAGCATGCTCATGATAAGCTAGGACATTTTCATACGATGAGAACAAATATGTAAATGACATTTTCTAGATGTGATAAAGACATACCTTTCTAACTTGTTTATTTAACGTAACTGCCATTTGTGTCAATTATAGTCTCAATTCGGAGCTTGATTTCCTCGCAAGTATTGTCTAGGAATTCCTTCTCTAAATTTGAAACTGACTTGTTAATAGAAGTTGTGAGAAAAACGATCTTAACACGCGTAGATTTGTTGATGTCTCACTTGAATGTGCCGGACGCCAAAAATAGTCGATTTAAAGATTGGGATAATAGTAGACCACAGGTCGATAGGTTCAAAAATATCAGAAAGTCCAAGAAGTGCAAAAAAGCGGTCTCTAATTTTTTCCATCAAAATTCTCGTTATACCGGAGCGTGCCGCTTCAATGAATTTTCGATTTTTTTCGTCTAATTTTTATTGCTAAATTAATGATATTTGATTCAATGTAAGGATTTGCCTTCGCATCGTTTCGTGAGGCGGAGGTAAATGCGCTTTGCCTTATAAATCTCTCTCTCAAGTTACTCGAAAATCACACGGAACTGACGCCAACAGAGGCTGTCAATGTTGGTTAATTATTGCACTTGGGTGTTCATTTGCACAGAATTCTCTTTAGTGTGCCAGAATAGAAGTAGCCTTTGCTTGGAAATAAGAGTTCTATGTTAATATATGGAAACGACTGACCAATACTTCTGGTAAACTTCTTAAAGAACTGCGAAGTCCAAGTGGCGACATCTATGTAATTGTTTTAGGCTAGCTAACTTCGTACAACAATGACAGCAATTTGGTGGTGACTATCAGGTTATATCACAGTATAGCTTTAAGTAATAGAACTAATACTTCGCTTTTTTCCGATTTCTATTTCCTATAGATCCGAGACACCAATGATGATGTGACACGGAGTTCGCAGTTGTTGACTTCGATGATTCGGAAAGCATTCCAAAGCAAAGTTGCGGTTCAGCTGGCTGTAGGAATCGTCGTTTTTGGCTTTGTTCTTGCCATCGTGCTTAGTATTAGAAATCACTTCTAAGATCTAATCACTGGAGTTAATTAACCTGACACAAGGCTTCATCAAAACATAAGCCCCAATCGATGGGGTGATGAACAACATATTTGTTTATGGCCTTTGTAAATAACGCCTTCACAGTGACTCACAGCAATCAACAACAGGTCGCTCTGTTAAGTATATACTAATGCCAACTGTATTTAGTGTAATCACCACTAAATGATGAGATGATAAATAATAATAAACACATTCCTCATCGAGAAGATTTGTTAACGAAAAACGATGACCGAAACAATAATGGTCGATTCGAAGTCTGTTGTATGGATTACTACACGCAGTAAAACTTACGAAGAGATATAGCAGATGTCTAAAATGTCCCGTGAAGATCGGATATCATAGCGGTGTGAGGGAATGTCGGAAAACAATAACACTTAGTCTACTATAATTAGATAGGAATAGTAACAAAGGGAAGGGTCAGGTCAAAATAAAGTAATCACTTTCAATGAAATCGGTCGAGATAGAAAGAAATCGATAAATTAGCCTATTTTTCTACAAGTCCAGAGGGAAAAATACGTAATGGAACGCACCTATCTTAGTGCAGCGCTAGACTAATTGACCTATTTTTGTCATTTCTGTATATCACAGACATATCAGGTTTGTAAATTGACTATCCTATCATACATGTAACTAGTCACTTGATTCGGTATCTAATTAATTGAGTAAATTACGCATAACAAGAAATAAATGTACCGCATGGCTCGATCATAAAATATAAGTTTTATATTTCATATCTAGAGGCAGGCATGTATCATCATTCTCAAAGGCAAAAGAGACTGGAGTGAAGCGAGGCCTTAAAAAGCTATTGCAAAAAAAGGAGTACAAGATTCTATCGAATATGTTCGTATGACACCTAAGCTCCTGTCTGAATAATTGTGATGCGCTATTAGTTGGGCGATAGAGGTTTCGCGCCAGGAATTGACGATGGCAGCCTGCAGAATACTAATCGAATATAGTCAAAAAATCTAAAATCTCCGGGGTGCTTCTAAGCTGTTTTCGTCGTCTTTAAAACTATCTTTGACTCCGGTTATCCAAATATTGTATTCACAAGACTGCCAGGCCAGGGTGCGCCTCACAACTGATGAGAGATATGGTACAAAGAAATCTGGCAATTATAAATAGTAGGATAATTGAAAAGGATAAGGTTGTGCAGACAACTAGGTCTGCCCAACAGGACGATCTAAGTCTTCAACTGTTCTCACTTGTGGTCGATGATCTACACACATTCAATGTGGACTCCCCTTTGTGAAGCTGGTTTTGTATACTGACGATCCAATAGAGCACAAAGGGAACAGTACTAATCTTCAACAGGTATATCAAGGATGTTGGACTCTAATAGTGCAAGACAGTAGTCATAAAATGCAGAAAAGAAAAAAAAGGCTCTTTGAGAGTGGCTCACCTATCTTTCATCGAAAAAAAAACTCTAAATACGTAATTTTTTTTACATATTACGGTTTTACCAGAATAACCACAGGTACATCTTTGACTATATACATTGAAGGAGTCAGGAAAGCATTCATCGTGGTAACCATGGTTAAGTAACCAAAAAAATTATAATTTCCGTTTGCTCTAAAGCGAGCACCATTAACCTTCGACGGAATTTAGAGTATTTGGACAGATCTCACTACCCGCAATTCGACGAGCCGATAGGCAGGCAAACTAGTATTGGTAAAATTTGTAATCGGCTTTCGCAAAAAGACACGGAATCAGATAGTGTACCTGTTGCCTGACACAACTATGAATCGTGGAAGAGGTCCGCCATACATTTTATATTCATTAGAAACATCATTCGCTTCTTCATCGACAGCCAAAGAGCTATCTTGAGGGGAGAAGTGGACTCGTCGTTTTTCGTGACTCACAGAAACTGGAAGCAAACGAATAAGTTAAACAGGCATATTGTTACTAAGTTCGCAGTTCATTGGTTCTATTTGGGAAATGCAAGGGTAACATGAATTAGAACTGAATTGGGAGCAGCAAATACCACATCGGTTAATGCAGTGTAACGAAGTTCGATCAATCCATCAACTGATAAAGTCAACCAGGTTAATGTTTAATTGTATCAACTTAATCAAACTTGCCTGTTATATTTATTGGAATTATTTTAAATTGGAGTTCTTTACGAAGTTTTATTATCATTGACCCAATTTCTGTAAATCCACCCTAAAACTTCTAACCTACAAAAATAAATGATATTAAATTAAATAATTTTACTGTTTATCTAGAGATACATACAATGCAATTATTCGAGTCGAAAGCATCCGAGAGGTAGGCTATTTGTCGCGAGACATAAATAGACATAAATAGAGATTACAACATTTCTGTTAGTCAACTAGAAGATATATATGTCTAATAACGCAATAAGCAACGAAAATTAGGTAAACCTTATATAAGGAACATTTTTCGCATACAGGGAGATTGTTACTTTCTTCCTTGAATAAACAGGTTTTCAAGAAACACCAGAAACTAATAAATTTTCCCTGTTCCACTTTGTTATGGATGAAAAGTTAATCGTCTAATATCTGTTTTAAAACATATATATAAGACATATAAATCATTAATTCGAATTAGTCATACAAACGAAGGCCGACACCAGCAACTGATCGTTTCGAACTTTGACAACGTTCCCGGGCCCACAGTTCATGTCAGCTATGTTCAGTCGCTTCGCGTTTATATGTGAAGTAATACAGGACCTGATCGAAATTAAAATATGTCTTTACTTCACTTAAGCAAGCTAGTCATTTGCCAAAACGCCGATAGCCCTTTGATAATGACGATGATATGTATCCTGAAAGAGAAAATCCTCATAACTGGTCTGTAGGATCTAGTTTCTCGTGCGGCGTATCGGGCTGATTGTTACTTGCCGATTGTTTATAGATGCAGCGAATTCTGCTGAAGTAAGGAACTATTATTATTAACTAGTCGTATAAGCTAGTACGATTTATGCGTATTAGATGCGAACCGTCTGTCAAGGAATATACTGAGGTAACTAGTTGTCAGGTCTTTTTATATAGGCACTTCAAGGTGGCACATGCATCTTCAACTGTTGTTTTCCAAGGTTGCTTGTCAAGGTGTTAACTGATAAAATCGCAAGTAATTTGATGTTAAGTTAGCCAGATCCCAGTCTGTTGTTCTTGTTCATTATCTCTATAACATTTTATGTTAGTTTAAACAATGTTATAAACTTCTTGTCAAAGGTGTTTATACAAAAGGTAACGAGAAGTCCACTCTGAACTGCGCTGTAAAACGTACAAAAATACGCTTATATTTATACCACTTATATGTTCGTGTAGTATTTTGTCTTCTATGATTTAGGCCTAGTATAAATATGGCAACAAATTCAAGTAACATGAATTGGACCTGTTAAATATCTGCTGTAATGGTTTGGAGGATAATCGATGACGTCGGATGTTTAGGTCTATTGTATTACGATCATTAATTAGTATATTTGTATTGTAGCGTCGAGAACAACAAACGGCAATGAACAACGGCAGGTAAGTGAAATCACTAAATCTCTAATATTCTTTTTTGTTTTTATGATTAGTTTGGAATCCATATTACACAATGGCCAAATCTGTATTAATATAGTGGCTTTTGCACGTGACGTAAAACGCGAGAAATATTGATTATGAGCTGGATTGAATACCACAACTTACAGGTGATATTGCACATTTTTTTGCTCATCGTCGAAATCATGATGATAATTCAAATCGGAATATTGAGTATATTATTCACTGTGTATGCAACGTGCACTCATAATGAGACAAAAGTACAAGTCTTGTTCATTGGGCTTTTTCATCAGTTTGGCCTGGATTGAGTTGCATACTATAGAAAGTAAGTTATACATGGCTGTAAGCATGTGACGTAATATGCTTGAGAGTTTTTTAGTTGTCAACAAGCTTGTCAAACTTAAACAGTTCGCTGAATCTTGGTTTTTTAGAATCGAACACAAGTTATTCTCAAGCATGATCTCTTTGGTGCATTACGGTGAAAATGTCGAAACACCTTCGAAACTGATTGTACTCTATTTTCGATTCAGCAATCTGTTCAGACAATTGTTTCATTTATATTTACAAGTCTTTGCTGTATCGGGGGGTTGAGACAATGAACATAGCTATTTTTAATCTACAAATTAAAACAAGTTCCTTCTAGCGTACTCGTTCAATAAGATTACTGAATAAATGATTAAACCTTTTTCCGATATTACGCCGAATCAGCTTAATTTAATCTTTTTTTTTTACTGATACAGTCACTTTCGAGCACAAATATCAGCTCAGGCATCTATGGATAAGCTCTGCGATCGACCTTGTGGCCTGTATTTGCAAATAATTTTGCGCAAGACTTCTTTTGTCGAAGCACGCACATGATTGGGTTTAGCTTTGATTTCATTCTGAAAACAATTCTGCCCTGAAAAGAACATTTACTCTAAATTCGTCAATCTACTTGTACCATATGAAATATGTTTAGAATACTTACAGAATATAATTTTGAATATCGCGAGTTTCATCGTGGAGATACTATATTGCAAGATCAAATGGAAGGGAAAAGTGCAGCTTAAGCAAATGCAGAGAAAAGAAACATTCGAATGAAAATAATCTTTTTGTGTATCATTATGTAATTACGGTCCTCGTCATAGAATCTGTAGATGGTCGATTAGCACATCTTAGAGTAGCGACCATCGATACATCCGTTGGGCTTTGAATATCAAAAATAAATTTATCTTTGCTTGAACAATAAACGATCCGTGGATGTATATCGTTTTATGAGCTATATGCTTTTCGCTAGTCCTTTCCCGTCGAAAAATCTAGCTAGCCAGTTTTTTGAAGAAAAAAAAAGCTACATTACGAACAAAGAGGTGTACCCTACTATAGAAAATAACGGTGTGCCTTCGAGTTAGATCTGCACCGTGTTGAAATTTTAGACGTCTATTCTCGAGTAGTCTTTTCGGAGTAGCCTTAAGGTAGTGAACAGTCAGTATATTGTGTTACTAAGGTAGTTCAGTAGTAAGCATAATGTGGGAAAATTTGACATACCTATTTCAACACATCGAACAGTGGCTGACGTTCGTAATTACGTCGGCCTACAATTCTGCACTTTAAGTATTTGCTGAAAAAAGGCCATATGTCCGAGCAGACATTGTGGGTATCTTCTAGTGCAATGTACGTGGGGTGATCAAAATTATTGTAATTTTTGAAAATAGTGAAATTTAAATTTGAAGACCGGGCGCTGATTTCGAAAACTAAACTATTCCTCCTCTTGTCAACGCCGGTGTCGCCATTTTAATAGACATTATCCTCGTCAAGCGCACATATGAAAAGCAGAACACATGCGTGCCAGTAATTTTATCCCTAAAGCTGGTTTATTCAAAAAAACCACACAACCATAAGAAAAATCATAGGAAACCTTCTCTTATAAACATGGACCCTTACCGGTTAAACCGTTAACAACTGTGAATAAGTGGATATGGCGGTCACCGCTTGGGTTTTGCTAAATTAAACGCTCCGAATTTTACGTCGACTTTTGTTTAATATGTTTGTCAAAATATCTCATGAAAAGACAAACTCAGTGTGGCATGTGAGTTCGATTTATATCTATACATGATTCGAGTAAAGACAGCATTTTCAGTGGAACGTGTAGAATATAATCTAGCAATTTACTTATTTAATGACGAAGTCGCGAGTTATGTAGGAATGGTGTAGGACATATTGATTTGGCCTTTCACGTGTTGATACTTTACGTTTGATTTTGTTGACGGTGAAAGGCAGCGGCGTCGTCGCCACAGAGACCGTGCGGGACCTGAGGACCGTCGCAATGGCGGAAATGTCGACGAAAGGCAGCAGCACCACGATAATCAAAATCATCAGCAAGCAGGCAATAATGGTGGAGAACGCTGGCAAGGTAATGATGACGGACAAGGACTTGTAAACGGGGGCGGATATCAGCAGCAACAACACGGCCAAGGTGGCCAGCGGACGCAACAATCAAAGAGAGGTTCGTAATCCTTTTGTGTGTTGTTAGATCCCACCCGATGGCGCAATCGTAACGTGGTCTACTACTCGAAGGGACACATAGATTACTTAGATTGGAACCTGAACGTAAACACACTTGATCTTCAAATCAAAATAGGAAAAGCGACTATCGTAATTCTTCTTCATCTTGGTTCCTGATCGCTAATGTTGAATTTTCTATCCTGACAAGTCCATCAAACAGTGTTACAAGGGACGGTCAGTGAGCATGTCTAAAGATGTCTCGAAATGTCATTGACGTGTTGGTCATTTTGCGAATACGACTGGATTTTTTATAATATTAAGTCTTATAGCAAAATTCCTTTTATTTGATATCTTTGTACTGTTCTAGAGGCGTACCCGATTTCAAACTACAAGCTTGAGGAGCTTCTACGTTGCGTTCCGAATGATCTTGTTATGGAGTTGCAGCTCAACCCAGGCTGGAAATGCCGCCTAGAGGCATTACAAAACGCCGATGGTCAGTCCAACTGTATAAAACTCTAAACTGTATTAACTTATCAGTATTAGCTTTTTTTTTACTCTTTTCTTGGCGATAATGCGGAATATCTGATCTGAGAGTATATTACAACTGAAGCATTTTTCAATATTGGTTTTTAAAATCTAAAAGAGACACTCTCTACTTAGCATCGCACCTCGCTCCAGTCGATCCTCTTATTGAAAATTTTTTAACTAAGATATATCCCTATATTTTCTTGTCATAGAAATTATAACAAAAAATATATAATGTTACAAGAAAATGATTACATTTACTATTATTCCCAATGGATTTTTCTAAATTCCAAAAAGGAGATAACCCTTCTAATGTGACTTTTTATATATTTATAAAAAAGAAATGCTTATTCGATTGCAGTAAATAATTTATCATTGGTCGTGCGGGTATATCAGAAGTGTTTGGAAAGTACCAACAGAAGTACTCTTCTTAGCTTTCTTCGAGAGTCGTATGTACCCAACCAGGTTCAATTGATTGGATCACTAGCGTTCCTCATAGGTAAACCCGACAATGTGGTGGCAAAGTTAGTCTACAACGTCCTTGAACTTACAATTGTAAGTAGCGATTGCCTCATATAGCGCAGCATAAACTTTAATCGGCACATATCTTAATACGAAAGAAATCAATATATCGACGTAGCATATAATTACAGTGATCTACAGAGAATGCATGTGAGCATGGAGAACCGTGTTTCTTTTACCATTAAACCGCTTCAAAATGAAAATAATTATTGTATTAAACAGTCCGCATATCAACAGAACAAAATTATTCTTGGTAAATGTATTATCACGTATATCGTATACAGGCGGGATAGTTCTGTACACATTGCTACTATGACGACTGACTAATGTTTGGTCATATTTATCTTGTGTCGCTCGGCTTGTCATAGACAATCGTCGCCGTTATACCCAAGGCTACGTTCCAATCGACGAAAACACTAGTAGTAATGCTACGGCCTTCCCTCGATGTATTACAAAAACTACTGCATGGAACACCACGGACACTCGAAGACCTTGTTGGAGAAGTAGAACGGCAGGTCAGGAAAAATAATTTCAATTGCTTCTCAGTGTTGAACCGATATTTTTCTATGCAATCATCGTATATGTGTTAGTGAGAAATTGAATGCTATAAGTTGTGCATACAAAATTGGCTTAACGATCAATCAAAAATAATAATAATAAAAAGCCAAAAAATAAATTGAGTGCTTTTTTCAGGTGGACTCGGTAGAACCGGCAGGAAGTGCAACTGGCCAACTACAAAAGCGTAGGTTTACCTACAGGTGACGTATATGTACCTTACACATCATGCTGTAGCAAGTATCTATCTAATTAGCGACACTATGCTGATAATAGTGGCAATTAGATGAGTTTAAGTTGTCCGTTGCATAGCAATTCAAAAACTGCAATATATTGTTCGTTACATAGGGAAGAGACCGATGAAAAGTTAATGAAGCTTTGTTCAGGGGTATTTTGTGAATGTACATGAAGCGCAGCATGTAGTTGAAAATGCGGTTATCATTAATGGCTCCCGACTTCAGTTGTGGCTCTTTGCTACTGCCGCAGGTCTCGCGCACGGCTACGTTGTCGCAGGAACGGCTCCGGACAGTTTCAAAAATTTGGAAGTTTTCCCCAGTATAAAAGATGTTCATGACGATAGGCAATTTCTTCGGCCAAACAAAATAATAGGTACGTTCGTTGTTGATTAAAGGCTTCATATGGAAAAATAACTTTTACAATTATGAGGATTTTTCATCGAAGGCAAAATGGATCCCAGCTTGAATTTGATCTAGGTCCAAGAGTCTTAGAAGCTCTTTGACGCACACAATTTTTTCAGGCTCATACGAGAGTGGGCTGGAATACCTAGACACGCAATTCCGGTTGCTTCGTGAAGATTTCGTGAAGCCAATTCGAGACGGAATCAATAACTATCTCAGTCTTAAGCCAGAGCAGCGTAAGAAATGCCTTTCTAGCCAGTCTGTTAGATACTACTGGAACGTCTCTTACCGGGGTCGAATTGCTGCATTGACCAACCAGGTATGTGAACACTTGGGAAAAAGAAAGCTTCTTCTAAACTTTACAAGTGTATGTTTACGTCGCCTATTTATTTCTCGTGCTGATTTCGATCATGCCAAATGCAAGCCAACCCAGATAGCGTGAAAAGTGTGATTATAATATAATACGAAAATGTAAAGGTACTACGAGTCACTCAAAAAGGAGACTTTAAGGGAGGCTTTTTTCGTGGTACCAAAGTTGCATTCTTCCACCACCTCTTTGATGGAAGAACTATGCTTGTTTTTTGCCTCGTGCCGTATTCCCACATGTTCTTGTCATGTGACTTGTAATTAAATAACAGCTTTCCCAGTCACGTTTCAAGCTATAAATGAGTGCACTTCGAGGTTTAAGTTCGGTAATTCGCTTACACGATTCAAGGTATACTGTGTTAATACCAAATTTACATATTTATTGTTACGTAACTTCAGGTGTTTGCTTTTGCGCTCCAACTATCCCCTCTGGACTACAAGAAAGTAAACTGGGAACGCTCAAAACGGTTTGCAAATGGCGCAGTTGTTGGTCTCACGAAAGACAATTTCGAACGTGTAATATTTGCTATCGTCATTCAAAGGAACATCGATATGCTAAAGAAAGGTTAATCACCGCTAAAGACGCAATGACATTCTATTATATTATGAATCTTGCGCAACACTAATGTGGCCTGTAAAAACCTTTGAATGATGAAAGAGCGCAACTGATGTACAGGAACAACCTATGTATAGGTCGAACTCAATAAATTCGAGTGTCATCCTGTCTTCAAGAAATCAGTTTATACTTACATCACAAATTCGTAGGGCATGGAATTCCCTTAATGCCTGCAGTCATATATCTCTACCATTCTTATTGGTTTGCTTTTGCGTTTCTAGGTGTCCTGTCAGTCGAATGCTGTTGTACAGAGGACGAAGAGTATATGGAGACCGGGCATGTGTATTTGGTCATTGAAAGTACAGTTCTTTTCGAGACATACCGCTACAGCCTTCAGGTTTTGCAAAATTTGGACACAGACGAGATCCCATTTGAAAAATATCTCGTACACGTAAAAAAGGACATCGGCCCCTTAAAATTGCTTCAGCAGGGCAGATGTATTAATCTTGAGCCCATTATGCTTAACAAACAGGAGAAGGTCGTAGTGGTGAGCGTTTCTTTTTTAGTTATGAGTCAGTGTCAGATAATGCAGAGGTCCCTGCATGTATTCGATTTCGAAAACAGAATATGCTGGAAAATATCATAATTTAGAAATCGAATGTCAGTTTACTTCCTTTTTTTCTGGAAACTTTGTCCGCTATAATTGGACTTTCCTAATCACATCGTTTGAATCTATAACATTTTATCGTTCAACCAGTCCTGTAGAAAAATCGCTAGAACCGTTTTCAAAGTGCCCGAACACATATATATTAATGACGCTATTGCATATTTGGAAATATGCAACGTACGTGCAGGCATGTAACAAGCTCAGCTGGCCGTCACGGAAAAGCACTATACTGGATGAGTCTCAGTATGATGCAGTGCAAAGCGCCTTCCTTCGTGAACTTTGTTTAATTCAAGGTCCACCTGGAACAGGAAAGACTTACGTGGGATTGCTTATTGTAAAAATGATGCTGTTAAATGACGTCACGAATAAACCCATACTGGTCGTATGTTATACGAATCATGCGCTGGACCAGTTTCTCGAAGGTAACAATAACCTACTTCACTCATCGTGTGAGCGTAAAAAAGTAAATAGGTGTAGAACCCGTTTTGGCCTCGTTTGTGGCTGTTGGTCTGCTTTTATAAAATCAAACGACAATTTTATAATAAGACGCTGACTATAATGAACTTGTGTGGTCGTGATCAGCGAGAGAGGAGAGCTTTGGTGCGATTCGATGAATTTCGTCAAATATTTTAGGTATTCTAAAATTCACGACTCGGGTGGTTCGCGTGGGTGGTATGTGTAAAAACGACTCTGTAAATGAGTACAATCTCTTCGAGCTGCGTTTAAAGAAACGAGACACAGGCCTCCTTGAACGCAGTCCGGTTAACCGCAATATACGTCGCATAAGGTTAAGGGTCGTGCAACTGCGCAAGGAAATCAACCAGAGGCAGGAAATTGCTAACCAAGCAGCTGGGTGAGTAGAACGTGCAACAATACTCTACGTCGCGAAGAACTGAAGCAGCACCCTTTTTTACATAAAAAAAAAACAAGACACACAGCCCTCAGCCTTCGTAGTCTGAAGCTGAAGCTAATAATTGTATACTAAAATGTAATTTCATGTTTATAGACGCGACTGGCTCTCCTGAAGTATTCTGACAACGCTGTTGTGCCTGCTCTGTCTAAGTAGATTTGCTTTTACTCGACCAAATTGTTTATTATTTACTAGTAACATAGCATGTACTAGCTATTTGTTTCCAGTCGACAAAATGGCTATTTTTTACAACAAATTTGATCTGTAATAACCTACGCAGACCACGACACACTTCTTTATTAAGGATATCCAATTTCGAAAAAAAAAAACAAGCTTTTCTAACCGAAACATTACACAACCCAAGACACCGAAACATTACACAAGTATTTTAGATGCATTTTTGTCAGAATATCGACTTGGCTTTTGATTAAAATATTAATTAATTAGGATGTTAATAATCTTTTATAAGATATATCGTATGTGATAGATTGATGAACTAAACTAAAAATACCTATGAACTACGACTGTTTGTCGATGCATTGGACGAAAGGATCATTATTCCTATAATTTGTTCTGCAGTAAGCTTATACCGGAACGTGTCCTCGACTCATTGTCACGGGGCTTAATAAGCGATTCAGAACAGGTCAAGGAATGGCTCGAGATTGATGAACGCGTAAAGGTGTTTCTTCGACGTGAGCGTGAGGAGGCACGACGAACGAGACGTAAAGAGGAACGGGCAGCTGAGCGACTCCGGATATTACAGGATGGTCACGATCCTGAACGCAAAAAACAGGAAGAGTTACAGGAAGCGTTAAGGCAAATGCAAGAGGAGTATCAGAGCGATGAAGAAACGGTCGATATCCTTGACGATAGAGGAAATCATGACAACGACGACCAATTGGACCAGGTAGAAGAAGTAGAGGGATTGTAACAGAAACCTTTCACTACATTTTTATCGAGTTATTGGGTGTTATTTTAGTTTAATTAAAAGGACGATTGTGGAACCTATGACAGACATGAGACAGATTTTTCATATGATTGTTCAATGGTTATTTTTCAGCTTGCCGAACACCTTAGCCTAAACGATAGACGGACGTAACATTACAAATTTTATTCAAATCTAGGAATATATTGGAATTATGAGCGACAGTTGTTTTCAGAAATGCCATAATAATCCTGTGCTGCATATCAGTACCCTGAGCTGAAGTCGAATTGACAAACTCGACCGTTTCCAAGCTGTATGTATGCAGTATTTTTACAAGTTCGCTAAACTTGTTATTCATTGCAGTAACTGTTTTTCATTGCAGTGTACAGTCGTAGAGCGTTTGCTGGCTTTTAACAAACAAAGGTCAACATGTGAACAAGACAGATATCTTGAATTCGAGCTAACTGCGAGCGAAAGGCCGCGACTAACACCAGAGGGGGTTTTCCAACTGCAACGACAGCTGGATGAACACGGGATCTTCTCAATCACAGTCGATCAGCGTTGGGATCTCTATCGGCATTGGCATCTGAATTACGTGCGCTACCTTGAAAAACAAATCGACGCCTCTCGGGAGGAATATAGGTACACGACCATTGCTATTTAGTTCGCATGTTATATCGGAGATTCCTCATCGTTATGAGAAACTGGCGTTTGCTAATCTGCAAACCTTAGGTTCTATCACGACTCCCTCTAAATCCTAAAGACAGCCTGCTATATACTTTTCAGTTGTTTGTCGACAGCGAAGATTTTTTTTAACTTATTCATTTTATCTTAGTGAGGTGTTTCATAGTTTGAAAGAGATGGAGGCCGAACTGGACCTGGCGATTCTTCGTGAAGCGCAAATAATTGGCATGACGACGACAGGAGCCGCTAAGTACAAATCGCTTTACGAACGACTTGATATTGAGGTTGTGGTCATTGAGGAAGCGGCTGAGATACTTGAATCACACGTTGTCGCCGCGCTTAGTTCATCAACGAAACACCTGATAATGATCGGTTAGTTTGCCATTGTTTTCCTAACTTTTATCATCTAGTAGGTTATTCATCTTCGATACAGATTTTCTTCCAGCCTACGTATATTGCGATTATGTGGCACACAGGTCCGTTAGATGGCGCCAGTCGGTATCTTGCTCAAAATCGATGTCAAAAACAATTTTTGAAACAAAAAGCCACTACAAAAACCTAGGACCAGCCGTTATATCAAAGAGCCTTCGAGAAGGACTTAAGTAGAAATTCCAAAGAGCTCGGCGTCAGTCTGTATCCGTTATAACGTCTACCGTCATACGTGAATTCGCCACTGCACGAAATATTCAATAAATGGAGTTGGTCGAATTAGCTATAGTACAGTAAATAAAAGTTTAAAGTTTTAAAAGTTTAAAAGTAAATAAAATTCCACGTTAACCTTTCTCGAAAGTGCGTACTAAGCATTTCGTCGTAAGTATATAGAAGGAGCAATGCTGAATATATTGCAACAGATTTGAGTTACTTAAGGAACACCATTGATTCGAGACAACCTTAGACGGGACAAAGTGGAGCTTGACCACAACAGTTGTCTACCCCACAGAGCACTTTCTCATTATGCGTTAATCAATTAGGCGCAGTATGAATTATCTGATTTTTTGCCAAACTGGTTAGGTCTATTTCCAGTGAGCCGTCAACATTTTTGGGCTTCGAAGAAAGGTTCTAAATCGAAAATATGATTAACATCGAAATAGCTATTTGGAGTTTTTTTTTTTCTTTTTAATCAAATTAGCTTTAAAACTAAGTTATTTCCTTAACTTTTGGAAGAGGGTGTCGAACTGAGTATGATCAAACATTGAAATGTGCAAATAGGCCTAAGATTTCAGTCAGAATCAGTATTAACGACCTAATATATGAAAATAAAATTTCTCAGTAGGATTTTTAGACTACTAGTTTTTTTTTTTCGGAGAACTACAAACTCTAGAATGAAAATATATTAAAATTTGCGTTACGTTATCTAGTTGATGCATTCTCTTACATTTACAATTTCTGGTATCCTTTACGCACGTATAAGCTATACAAACATGACTGGGACAATTCGTTTTATACAGGAGACCACCAGCAACTACGCCCTACAAACGCGGACTATACGCTAGCTTCTAAATTTCATCTGGATGTTTCTTTGTTTGAACGCCTCATCGACAACGGATTACCATTTGTTCGGCTTAAGACACAACACCGTATGCGGCCGGAGTTTGTCAATTTACTGGTGCCACACATATACTCAAGGTATAATAATCTTAAAATATTGCAAATTGTTTCGAGAAGACCCTAACAGATACCGACAAAGCTTACCTTGGAATCGTGTCACATGTTGTCTATGCCTTTGGATACACTGCCTTGCTAGCACCTAGTAATATATTACCATCTATAATATTATAAGCGATTGTACTTGCTATCTACCCGATATGTTCTTTTTGTGATACTTTCGTTAGTCTCAAGTGCGCCGAACCGGTTTTCACATTTCCACACGTTCGAGGAATGGAGGGGGATCTTCAGCTGATGCACCACACGAATCTCGAAAGTGATGACCCTGAAAACCGTTCAAAATCGAACCAGTTCGAGTGCGATATTATCGTGGGTCTCGTAGATTACCTGCTTCTGCAGGACTACTCCCGTGACCAGATAACGGTGCTAGCCATGTACACGGGACAGCGATTGTTAATAAAGCAGGCATTACGTTCACGGGCCGCAGGTCGGGATACAATACGCGTCACCTCCGTTGACAATTTCCAGGGAGAAGAAAACGACGTTATTATTGTTTCATTCGTACGAAGCAACGTTGAAGACCGTATTGGTTTCCTCAAGGCATTAAACAGGGTTTGTATGTGTATTCGACGATATACGAAGGCGGTTTGAAAAGTTTCCAGCCGAAACATCCAGATAGAGCTACTTGTCAAAAATATCCTAGTGACATAATTGCGTACGCGTTGAACATTATTTATGATACGTTTAGTTCGTCGTAATAGTCGTTCGTGTTCTAACGTGTGTTTCTAAAACCGGAAGAAATTAAAGATCGAAATGTTATTCATTCTAAAAAGTACGCCTAAGCAGATTAGAATCGAGGTGGATGTTGCCAATGGGGATCTGCACTACCGTACGCCGTCTTAGAATCTCGGCGAGCAAAATTAAACATGGTCGTACTCGCTTGGTTGACGATGAATGCGAAAGACAGCCAAAAATTGCAACCACTACCGAAAAAACCTTGAAAAATTTCGCCAAAAGGTGTTAGGCGACTAACGCATTGAAGCTATAGACATCTTGAAGGAATGTGTTTGTTATATACTGACTGAAGCTTCGGGCACGAGAAAGCGTGTCGGATGCCGTGTTTGCTGTCTCAGAACAGAAACACATCCGAATGGGCATCTTCAAAACACTGCTTAAGAACTAAGAATCGAGTTTTGGCGTTAGTTAATAGCTGTAGATGAAGCATGGACACATTCATTTTGAAATAAAGGTGCAGTAGAAACGATGGACCGCAAAGGTTGAATCGGCTCCGAATCAGGCAAACGTTGTTCCACGGGCCGGCAAATTTTTCTGGATAGTTAAAAAGAAAAAAGGAAGCATACTGCACATCATTACTTAGCAAGCTAAAATGCCAACGGTCGCATTTAGGAAAACGTACGTATTGTTTCGTTAAGAGACCATCTCACACTTGAATGGTCACCATGGCATACATTCATGAATTGGGGTTCGAGTCGATTGAAAACTCCTGCATTTACCAATTCTTATCGAAGACTTCTTCTGTTTCCTAGGCTTGGTGTTTTGCTTAGAAGACAGAGATTTCCATCGAGTGAGCAGGCCGTCTTATTCGTAAACGCGTATCTTGCAGGCCGAAGTGCCAATAACTATTTGATTGGAATAGATAGGTGATAGTGTCTTTGCGGCCAAAAGAGTGGACTCAGAACGCGAGACTATTTCGAAAAACACATTGTAAATAATACAAAGTAATTGATTATAAAAAGAGATTTGTCTCAGTGTTAGGCTGGAAAGACTCCTTATACAATATTTCCATAATGTCTTTTGCTTTCTTCCAATGGCATTTATATTAAACTGAAGTGAGTCTTCTTATTACTCATCTGAATTTTTAGTCTAGCGGAAAGAGTAGCGTTTTTATTTGTTAGCATGTTTCTCGTTCATTGTTTGGAGTCATCGAGTACACAACGCGTCATATAATATATTGAAATAAAAAAAAAACGGGTTTTTGAATCGCTAAAAGACTAAAAAAATTCAGCTTTTTAAAAATTGATTGCAAAGAACTATCACATCCACAATCTATATAGAATGAATTCCTGCCAGCGCTTTTCGAGGGAGAAGGTTTAACGTTTGATAAAACGACGTTTAACATGATGAAATGATGGTCTATGATGATGCGTTGTAGATCTGCGTGGCCTTCTCGCGTGCAAAGCACGGTCTCTTCTGCGTGGGCAATTTCACGATGATCGCCAGCAAACAGCCAAAGTTTGCGAACATTCTCGAATCAATCAAGAAGAGTGTGGATAACTCTTTACGACTAATCTGTCCAGTTCACAATCGTGTTACGAAAATAGTACAGCCGAAAGACTTCGAAAAGGTGGCTGAGGGTGGTTGTGATAAATTATGTGAGACCCGTCTGGAGTGCGGTCATGCTTGTCCACGCCAGTGTCACAGCTACGATGTTGAACACAAGCAAATTCGCTGCGCCCGGCCATGTGCCAAAAAACATCCACAATGTGGGCACGACTGCCGTCAGCTATGCGGGATGCCGTGTGGCCCTTGCAGTGAAGAAGTTCAGCGAAGAATCGAAAAATGTGGACACTTCAAAAAAGTAAGCCCTTGTAATATATAATTTTGTGTTCATGGATCAAATCAATAAATGCTGTAATTTTTCATGATCTTTTCAACCTGCATGATATTCACAGCCTTCATTAGATTTACCGTGTGATTTCGACGTCACGTCAGCTGTAATTCTCTGTAAGTACAGCCTCGTAAGTAACTGCTTTGGGTGCGTAAGTACACCAACAGAGAAATGACATGGAATCTATGCACATAGGATACTCATTTATATTAGTTACACAGAAGACTTTTTGTCAGTGGACATTGATTAGCTATTATACAATGCTTTGTTTAGCAAAAGTACACGCATGCATGTAATACGTAGTCAAAGTTGTATAACCCCCCTGGGGTGTTCCACACGAATGCGCCGTCAGCTTTATGTCCATTTTAAAAGACCACCGAAAAGCGACAGCTTTCTTCTAAGATTTCTCGTTCGTTAGAGGTTAATAGCCTTTATATCATCTACGTAGATTGAAAATTTTACAGCTAACCGCCAGGTATTTTATTTCATCAGTCAACGGCATATAAACAGAAGGATACTGTCAAGGACGACACCCTGCAGACAGGCGGTTGATACTACTTCTGGTCTAAACAATGAGTTGTTCATGTGGTGTATGTACTTCAGAATTTTTCAGAGTTTGGTTTGCAATCATCTTATAGGAGAAAACGAGCCTGGTCTATTGTTTTTTTTTGTCCCTCTTCTCTTGTCTTAGCTTAGTATATCCTAGTTAATCTTCTAGCAGAATGTGTCAAGAGGACGAAATTGATCACAGTTTCATGAAGAGATCGTTGAACTGGCAAACTTTGGCTATATTTTGCTCTATATATTTGGCTATATGACGCGTCAATATTCACGTGTTATATATTTTCTGGTACTAATAGGGTCGGAAGTGGGTGTCGAAGAGTGGGTGGCTCAATCAGTAAATATTAAAAAAATTTTTTTAAATCCATTTTCCCTCAAGCACTTGCCACTATAGCTACGCCTTCAAGTATCAGCATCTCAAGATGGTGTCATCTTCTAAGGCGTTTTTCTTTCGTGTAAAGATATTATTGATACGTAATCATTAGAAATATGGTTTCAGCCAGTGTTCTGCCTATCGACTTATTATTTATCGATCTATCATCTTGTGTTCTAGGTGAAGTGTGGTACTCCTTTAGAGAGTATACAATGTTCATCGGCGTGCGAAAGATTGCTGGCCTGTGGTCATCCCTGTAACCGCAAATGTTCAGAAGTCTGTGTAATGGAGTGTCAAGTTCAAGTAAAAGTTCGCGCCTTATGCGGGCACACTGTTAAGACAACCTGCGGGCAGAAGAACACGTCACAACTAGTTCTCAAAGCATGCCAAAAGCCCTGTCGTACTACTCTAGTGTGTGGTCATAATTGCAAAGGTAATAAGCCCAAATACATACAGTTGCGTATGAGATCCAGTATGAACAGTGTAACGTATCGTATTAGGCCGAAATGGTTTTTGCTACTGTCCTTTGCAGTCCACAGTATCTAATCTAGCCTTATTACACATAGCATTACGTATGGCTACACAATTTTATTTAGACGTAACCAATGATAGCTTTTACGAAGTGCTGTGCCCGTGCGGCGTTAAATTTCTCTCGAATATGCTCTGCATTTAGAACATCGTAAAATCTAAGAATTCTAACATAGAGGAAAATCTAGGACTCAAATCAAATAAGAGAGCATGTTAGCCAAGTTGGCAGAAATATGGCTGACAAGAGTTTGTATCCATTTGACCCTACTTATTCAATTATTGCCTATATATGACGGGCAAAGATTAGTTCTTGTTCGAGTTGCATTTAGTTACTTCGGTATATTCATTGATTGATATCTATCACATCAATGCTATGATTTCGCTATCGTGTCATAGGGACGTGCGGTTCGTGCCATCAGGGAAGACTGCACGTGCCGTGTGACAGCAAGTGCGGCAAGACGTTGATCTGCGGGCATATGTGTAGGGAGCCCTGCTCCGAAATCTGTCCGCCGTGTCAAAGAAAGTGTGATAACGCGTGCCCCCACTCGCAATGTCACAGCAAATGCGGAGAGCCATGCCCACCCTGTGTGGAGCTGTGTAATCGACAATGCACGCACCAAAAATGCACAGCGCTCTGCTTCCAGAAATGCACCCAAGGTCCGTGTTCTAGGCCATGCCCCAGAAAATTGAAGTGCAAGCATCCGTGTATTGGGTTCTGCACAGACCAATGCCCGAATAAGTGTCGCACGTGTCTCGGCGACGAAAAATTGCCAGATGTTTTGTTGGGAACAGAAAATGAAGACTCCCGCTATGTGCAGCTCGATTGCGGTCACGTAATTGAGGCCGAAGGTATGGACATGTGGGTCAACACCTGTCTCGAAAGTAAGGAAATCTCCATGGGAGGCATCAGCTGTCCCGCCTGTAAAGCGCCGGTAAAGAAATGCAATCGCTACCGCCTGCATGTAAACGCCAAGAGACAACTCATTGAAGAGGTCAAAAAAAAGGTGAGCTGAGCTTGATCGTTCTTGAAGAAAGGAACGTCTTTGTATCTGCTGATTTCTGCCAACATTGTACAAAATCTGAGAACAGTGAAATAGATTGTTGTGTTTAGGAAAATAAACATTAATGTGTATTTTGTTTGATGATTATGACAATAACATTAAAGGCATTCGGCTCACCCGAAAAAAATGCTGAAGACTTGAGAAGGCTATCTGAAGCGATTTTAGACGCCGACGGGACACTACTTGCCTTTGGAAGGGCCCCGTCCTTAAATGCTTATACGGCTCATGACGAACTTTTAGCTAAATTACAGAACCAAATACGTGGCGAGTTAAATCCCGATCAAATGAAAATACGCCAGTGGACAAACCTACTAACAGTAAGTGAGAGACAATTTTCCTTTTCGAAAATTGCTATTCCTATTCATATAGAAGTAGATACATTGCAGTGGTGTGCCGAGAGTTATAGGTTTGAACAAGTCAGCTAAATTACTTGTTCTTAATTTAGACAAGGCGCCAACTTCAAGCCTTTGCGGCTGGCGTATTATCTTATAAATCATACGTGGAATGGGCAAAATGAAAGCCGATGCGGCAAAAAGCAAATTCTCTTAGCTTCTATTGGGAAGACTTCCTGCTTGTTGCCAATCGACGGTAACAGTCGAACGATATAGGACTGAGACCTCGCAGGTTAGTGCCGCGCATACATATTGGCTGTCTTCTTCGTTTTCTGTGTGAGCTTACGATACCGAACGCGACAACTAAACCCGGTCTTTCGCCGTCTATACGTTTGAAATTGTCCCCTGAATTGTGTGTTAGGCTGCATCTCTCTACAAACGTACAATCGTACCAAAAAACTTTGCGCCACGTATACCTAGAGTTGTATAAATAAAGCAAATAATACCGGTTGCTTTTACCCTCCGTGCAGCCAGAAACATAGAAACCGGTAGATTTCTTAATGTTCGAATACAACCGCAATAAATCTCAAAATCCAAGTAGCACACAGTGCCCAAGAAAAAAGCCACAAACGTAACTCTTGAAAAATTACTCGTGCGTGGTTTTGGATGAAAACTGAGTTTGTTTTTTGTGAATTGGTTACAATAGTTTGTTAGAGACATGATGCTGAGGTATACTTCATACAGTTTGTTTTTAAGCCGGTTATATAATCGAGCAAAAACAAATTCTTATCTAAATTTAGCTGCTGCAGCCTGTATATATTAGGCAGCTTACTTATAACCCGAATTGATTTAACTGAGTCTCGTTAATGAGTATAAAAATTTATAATCTCCTATATGCTACTCTGCAACATATCAAGAACTGCATTTCAGCCTTTCTTAATCCTGGTACAAGGCAAGCCTTGAAACAGACAGATAAGGATCAGGCAGCCGGGGTAGAGCTGCCCATAAAGTTTATGTGATTCGCTTGCGACAGCTGTACATTAGAACCGATTATTAAGTAAATGTATAGCACTGTTTATCAAGAGTCTCTCTTGTAACCAATAGGGTGCCTTGAAATGGAGTTGAACCTAAATTTGATATGGTTGACCCTTCTGACCTATCTAACTTACGGCCGCAGGATTTCTTGAGAAGTTTGCCGAGTATTCGCTCATAGCTAAATTTGTTGTTTCATTGAAACCCATTTCCACTTCCTACCATACAACGATGCGTGCAAGTATCATACTCCAGATAACTCGTCGACAGCCATCTCGTCTTAGCGTCTCTGAAATTGAATTACGGTTGTTCATCAACTACGAAACAGTCTTTTGTGCTATTGGGTTTAGAATACGTTTACATAAACGAACTTCCCGTCCGTCAGGAGGGTCGGCAGTCACTTGTCTAACATGCATATATAATATAAGGTAATTCACACAGATTATGTATATTATAATATAGCTGTTCAATCGTTTAGTCTTATTTTTAATCAAACTATGTCCCAATATTAGATATGACTTTCTGCTAGTTGAATGACAACTTACTATGTTCCTGCGGATGTCTAGGGTAACACATTCTCGAGAGGCAATTTCGACGCAATGTTGAGATTTTGGCAAAATTGTAGCCTGCAAAACAAATACTCAGCGTAAATGGGGAATTATGGAAAGCGTCCAGTTATAGCTTCTGCGTTTCTACTACCATGGTTCCTGCGGTGTCATGTCGAGCGTTGCCATTGAACACCTCGGTTCACTAAATTTGGCTGGGCAAGGCGGAGTTGGAGAAAAAAAAAAGAAAGTATTCACCGCTGACTATAGCCCTAATTGACGAGCCTGAACTTAAGTGGTTAACACCTAACATTAATAAACACCCAATAATAATAATAAACAGGCACCACAAGCTTTTGCAGCTGTACATTTGCTTCGGATCCCGCCGTTTCATTTGCGTCCACTGACTAGTATTACCGTCTGTGATTATCGTGAAGATCAAGCCACAGTTCGGTAGAGTGATATACCACTGTTACAATGCGAGAGCCAAGAAGATCTAGCGTTTTAACGTCTATAATCTAGATCCTCGCTCAAATATTCATTCGACCGAAGTGAACAACTATAGGACTTTTTGCATACATCAAACCGGAGTGTCAACGCTAGTCAACTTTAAGATGAGGCTCGAGATGGGCGGACTTTTATCACAGCTTTCAGCTAGTATGTACTTTCGCAAGATGTATTCCACAGTACAAATTTTTAACCAATGGTTCATCCTTCGTAACAATGTAAAGTCTATGTTCCCCGCTATAGTTTTCGAATGTTTGTGCGATGTAAATCACTCGGCTGTTCCTGATTTGCCGTCGCTCACTACAGCTCGCCTGCATAGCTTCCAAGTGGCCATATCGAAGTGAACCTTCAAAGCATAAACAGCACGAGTACATCCTGATACAAAGAAGTGTCACGAAACGTCTCACCATGTTAGGATGAGATTGACGTCCGTTTGAACTTTAACTATCAGTTCCCTTACATTACCTAAAAATTATGAGTCACGAAATTAGTATGGGCAGGAAGACCCTCTATTTACCGTTATTTAACGTCTTTGCGTAAGCAGTGAGACGATTATATGAAACGATTTAAACGATGTGGCATGTGACGCATTTTGTTTAACCTTATGGAACGTTTTCGCACGAGACACATGTAAGAGCCTACTACGGATACAGCCAAAAATATAAGGAGAAAAACGAAATTTTTATACGACTGTTTGCAATATAAACAGTTGACTAGCGATCGCTGCGGATGAAATTCTGGGCTCATTTACAAACATACGAAAACCCCACGACGTATTGTTCAAGAAAACCTGCTCTTATTTTAGTAAATGCTATGTCGGCATATCTTAGGCGCTTTTTGGCGCAGTAGGACATGGATGATAGCACCAGTATGTCTAAACAAGTCCTCCCAGTTTTATGTTTAGTATTGTTGTTAACTATTGCAATGGGTCTATTAATGGACAAAGTGACCCAAGAGCCAGAATCCGGAAATCTCGTGTTGCTCAACCAGGAAGTTTTACTATTTGCAAAGCTAAACGCCACAGGGTTGCAAGTGTGGAATAAGTGAAGTCACGAAGCTTTTCTGCTTCGTTGTAGGAAAGAACTCACGCATTTTACGAAGAGTTGTGCTAATTTAAAGATATTGACTCTGTCGAGGAACAGATATATTTAGAGTGGTAAACTTATCAACCTGCAAGGGGCACGTTTTATGAAAAAAGCAAGCCTGAAATGCCCTTCTTATCTTAAACGATTGAAATATAAACATGTTAACTGTACAAGCAAAATCGGTAGAAGTGACAGAAAAGGCATGTTTTGCAAATATGTGGAAAATAAACCAAACAAATATGAATCAGAGCCTTTTGAGATGTCTCTGAGTTTCCTCCGAAGCTGTGTACAGGTTCTCGATTGTTCGCACGGATCTCAGAGAGCGCCAAATATGTTTTTATTCCCTACCGGCCCAGCGGTCATAACTATTATCAGCACCGTGTGACGATGTGGCGCTATTCTATTCTTCAAACAATAAAAAAATGCTCGCTGAAGCTCTTTTTGAGGTGTCAGAGGGTCGATGGGTCAGTCATTAAAGAATGTAAAAAAATTCCCTACTGGTGGTACATAACTAAGTGCTATCGAAGGGAACACATAATGATTTAGATGCCATGTAGCTACGGCTGACCTAATGGCCACGTCTACTCTCTTGTGAACTGCGGTCTTGTATAGGAGCAAGCCTTTTCCCTTGAACTTGAGGCCCAGATTGGCAGCCATTCATACCACTCATATCCCGACAACAGGATAGAATCCACTATGACCAGCGATAGTTTGCTATATTGAGATTGCTATAGATCACCTCATCTGGAAGAACGACGCTTGTCATGAAACAGACAGCTAATGGCGCTAGCTTCGTCAGCTACTAACGCCATGGTAGCCTGTCCTTGGCAAATAGGGTGATCAAAGATTCGAAATTGTCGCTCACTTCTAGTATGTACTTCAAAATTCAGAATGTCTATAATTCAATTCGCTTGAGCGTTCTACTTTATTGAATGTGTACAAACTTGATATGGTAGCAAATTTAAAAGCAACTGTAGAACGAACATGATACACAGTGTATTTGTAATAAAATTATTACAATCGAAAAGCAGCACAAATGATAGTTTCTCCTAACAACTGAGAACAATAGAAGCGCATTTTCTGTTTTTAAAAAAAGGGGCAATATATAACTTTAGATCTTCGCAAACTGGTAGAGAACATGAAAATTTTTGTGGACCTGGTTCTGGTGATCCGTGTTAATAGTTCAGCCCTTCATAGAATGTATAGCATCAGCAAATAATTTTATTTCCATATAATTTCTGAAAATGACGGCTTCTAAAAATGACATCTCGAAAAAGCTTAGGTTTATTTGTGACTGCTGATCACAACAGATACAGCATTTACCAACGAGTTCGCGTTTTAAGGATTGCCATGATTTCGAAGCTTTGGAGAAGCATTGTAGTAACATATAGCTTTGTACATCCGGGCATCATGAATCCCCTTCAAGGGATCAAGGATTAGGCAAAAAGGGACGCATAAGACGTCTATTGAAACCGCTCGAATCTTTGAAAACACTATAATAGAGATCACGAAACTACTTAACGCCTTAATCAATTCTATTTCAGATAATTCGCGAAATTCGCAAGCTTAAACCAAACCTGCAGGATCTTCCTCAGCTAGAACCCTTTTGGAAAGATCTTGAGGAAGCAGTGAAGAACGCGATAGCAATTAGGGTCGGCCAGCAACAGATGGATGATATGTGCCTTGAACTCCGCAGGTAGGTAGATAAATATACGTCACACCTGTTACGCATAAAAAACCGCTACTAGATCAACTGATCAAGATGTACAGATAGAATTTCGACTAATATCCTATGACTTAATACGTATGAACCCGGATTGCAGATTCACGAACATCGAGCCCTTAGCACAAGAGTTGCGTTTCAACCCAAACAGTCCGGATCTGATAAAATGTGTAGAGATGCTCACGGACTTAGGACGCTTCTCCCAGGAGAAAGTTACCAAAATACACGAGCTGATCGATAAGACGAAGAGGAAACGCACGGGCGTGTGTCTCGGCATCGGTAACGAGGAACGACTGATGATCCTCAAAGCGATGCAATTAAAACAAGGTCATTGGTACAACTGTCCAAACGGACACGTCTATTGCATCACCGAATGTGGCGGGGCTATGGAGGAAGCCGAATGCAACGAGTGTCATGCGAAAATTGGCGGATTACGCCATACACTAAGGGAGGATAACCGCGTCGCGACGGGAATGGACGGATCGGTCCATGCAGCATGGTCCAATCACTATAACGATATGAATAATTGGCACTTTGAAGACGATTAATTTGATAGGAAGATTCGTAAATATGAATGATATTTATCAACTATGCCAGAGACGATCAAAGTGGAAATAATCAAGCGTTCCTTTAACCTATATAGCAGCAGTACACGAGAGAAGAAGGTTCCACTATGTTAGCTTATAAGGGAAGAGGACGAAGTCTGTCAAATGCGTCCTCGTTTGTAGGATATCGTATAGATATAATCATAGTCGTTATATCCTACAATATTTATGGATAATTAAAAAAAACCTTAAAAAAGACGTTAAGAACTCTCTGTCTGTAATAGATCTAATTAGTGTAGATCAACATTACTTGGTAAAACTGGCATAGTCTTTAATAAAAAGTTTTATTTGCTTTCAATATGTGGCACTTGCGTTATTCTTCATATAGATGTGTGTGTGTGTGTGTGTGTGTGTGTGTGTGTGTGTGTGTGTGTGTGTGTGTGTGTGTGTGTGTGTGTGTATGTAATTGAACCTAAGTTTATTCTCAAGCTTTTGCTTCGTTTGTTTCGAGCTTCGCCTGCGCAAGTTTACTCACTAAGGTACGTCTGATAGTGCAGTAGCGTTTTCCATTGTATATATACACACAATAGGTAATATTTCGAAACAATTTACTTACTTACAAAATAACTTGTCCACGAACTTCACCACTCACATGCTCACTTCATCAGCCGGTCGCACTGACTACTAATGAAACACAAATTGTGCAACAAGATTGAGCCTCGTTGTACCGATTTTCCATCAATCGGTGCGTTTTTCCCCATTTTTGTTTACGTGGTACGTAAATTGACATCACTAACTCGAGGAAGTCCGTTTATATAAGTCAAATCGAAACCATCCTCTGGCAGACGATTTTAGATGACTGATACGGTCAAAGACTACAGAAGTAATGTACCAAGTGGTTCATTTCACATTTGTATCTGAAATATAAAATTTACGTATGGTTTAAATCTACAATCATTAGCACTCATGCATCCCACTGAAACCTCAACTGGCAAGAAAAATCGAAAGTTGGCAAGGAACGCAGAGGCTCTCTGACCTCTGGCCAGATGGTTTGAGGCTTATCGGCGATAAAACCGCTGTCAGTGTTCTATTAGCCAGAATGCCAGAGCCACACCGATTGTCTTCCAGGATGTTACAAATACATTCAAATCAATAAACTGTGCCGTAAAGAAACGAGAACCGCCCTACTTTTGAAATAATTCGAGTTCGTAACGCAGTAGTATAATTCGCGTAAGTGTGATTCCAAACGTTTAGGAGGAATGGCGAATGACAACTGAAAGAGACCTACGCTGATTCCATCCCTAGCGACCCGCTATAATGGAAATGCCGAAAAAATACTAAGCACCGCATTTTCCTTCAGAGATCTGCTGTCAGCTAGTGCGCTAGCTTCTGAAATTTCCGACCAATTGACCGAGAACTACGCTTACGAAAGTTGTACATAATAGCTCTGAGCTACGCTTGATCAGGTATGGGTGACACCACTTCTTCTCTGGTTAGCGGCTGCGGAGAAGGATGACAAACACAGTGACCTCCATTGCACCGATCGCGAGTAGAGGATACATCGGGCGAAGTCAACAAAACTGACGTTGGCTTCATCGATTCCTGTGACTTACTTGATTATGAGCAAGCGACGAACTGCAGGACCTAACATCACCTCAGACGATGTGGTAGCTTTAAAATGGAATACATCTTATGTCGGACTAGAATATACGTGAACTTCTCTCGATGTAAACAGAATAGAAAGAAGCACTGATTTTTGCCGTCCAGAACGAAAAGGCTAGTGCCGAGAATCTCATCAGTTGATTCTTTTCGAAGAAAAGCTTTGCCCAAGAAAGTCAAACAGTCGAATCCGGACGTCAAGAGACCTTCATGCAGACGGATGATGACAAATACGGGGATAACTGTGAGCTGCTACAAAAATGAAAGTCTCAAACTGGCGAAACTCGAAATCACTTTACATATGCCACCTGTTTGAGAAGGATCAAAACGACATGTTCGCTGCTGAACACGCTTTTAACATATCTAACGCATAGATCTAATCGCTATTCGAATTGGTAATTCTGATAAAATTCTACAGTCAATTGAAGGCAGCACGCGTTTGCCTTCGGCCGACCAACAAAAGTATGCTGCTAGCTAGCCTATCGTCACAGCGGTAGAGGTCCGCCACTCTCTCTAAAAATGGCTGTTTATTATCTAAGCTTTGCCTTCAGGTGTTCTTTCGACTTAGGAGATTAACAGTGCTTTATGCTGACCGGACCCCAGGCGCAAGCTATATTTCGAGGAGATTGATCCTCGTCGACTTTTCAGAATCCTGACTGAACTAAAGAGCAGGTCAGCTCACTGCAAGCTGAATGGGAGAGAGTGTGTAGCCCAAGTCAAAGTTGGCATGCAAAAATAGAACAATACGTGGATATTTTGTTGGCTAATATTCAACTTACACTGTTCGATATGTATCGCTTGGCGTGTATCGAACCCGTTAGGTAGCTCCATGTTTCGATATAAACAATTTCTCCAAGAACGACCTTTTAATACGCAGTTTAGAAACAGCTTATCGAAGCTGTTAGCGTCTACTCTACCGCTATGTCATGACAAAGGATGTTTGTGCACTTGAATCCATTTGTTGTTGCGTGACTTGGCCAAAGAGTTGTGATCATCGAAGCTGCATAGATAGTAAATGGTCATTGCCTTCAACTGCTATTAAAAGTACATACAATATAAAATAACAGCGCTATAAAACATTGGACGATAATTATTGGATAGTCAATTGGGTACGTACTGAACATTGGAATGACGTGTACGGCAACAGAACACAGATTGAACATTTTTCTAGGCGTTGTCTGGTTCACCGAACGGACGAGCCCGATAATCGATTTTTGCTGGATTGATACTGCAAATGAGGCGGTGACAGCCGTAATCAATTTAACACGACAGAACTTGTTCTTATACCCGATGAGATTGTGCAAATGGTTGCTGCTATAATTATACTCTGTTCAATGCAACCCAACTATAACTTGTCTTTTTTTCGGAAGCTGAAATAGCGTCCCCATTTCGATCGAACAACTTTCTCATATCTCTTTTGAAACGAAGCCAGTTCTTTAAAGTTTGCGATAGGGGCGCCAACGAAACATGCTGGCACCGATTTTGAAGCCAACGCGCTCAAATAATGAATATCGATGTTATTACATAACATGCGTTTTTAGTGAAAATTAAATTAAATTCCAATAAGGTTATTTCTTACTAGGGACAATTGAGCAGCTAGGAGGACAACGATAGAACTTGGGATCCCTTGGGAGAAAAGCTTCGTTCATACTCGTGTCGAGTTCTCATAAGCTAACGCAACTCAATTAGCTGATAAGAGCTAAGAGAAATCGCCATATAAGTGCCGTATAATGAGGCCATATAAACAGGCGAGACGCTGTTGAGGCTATATCTTGGGATAAAACCAAAGTGGAGTTTAGTTCCCTTCATTTACCAAGATTTTTTAGAGTGTTACTTTTGTAACCATTGGCTGGCTGTCCAGCTTCATTTTCCGTCGTTGTCACAAGCTACCAGAGAACAGGCCTTATAACAGGCTGGGTAGTTTTTTAGTTTGACGATATCCCCGGTGGGCGTATTCGTGGATAAACGCTGAACTATGATACAATTCTAACAGATACAAGAAAATGTATTCCTATTCAAATGAACGATAGCATAAAATTACACTAGAGGCAAGAAAACCATTACCCGAATGCAAGAATATAACAGTTTATTTGAGAACATTAGATGGAAAGAACGGTCTAGGTCCATCTAACTCAAGATGTTATTTAGAAAAGTGTACTAAGCACGCAGCACCAAGCACAGGGCCGTGGTTACGAAACCTTTGCTTCAAGCGGCGTACCGATAGGGCCCGTATACGAGCTCTGACGCTCGCTATAGCATAAATCAAACGTTACGGTACATCATGTTCAAACAAAATTCTGCTAGGTTACCAAGCAAGACTTTAACCTTATATTAAGAGATTCAACCGCTTGCCATGTCAAGTTTCAGCATCCTAATTCACCAATGTATTTTTCTACAGCTTAAAGTGCTTAATATTGCAACTTCGATCACTTTTGTTCCGATACAATATACTCTGTGCCGAAAAACACCATTGTAGTTTGGATACTATTCTCTCTCAATTCACTGGCATTGTGACAGTGATTGTGGGTATTCCCGCCGAACTGTGTTCCGATACATGCTTTCAGGAGCAGGTCAGAATTTAAAAAGCAAATTTAACACAGGTGCGGAAGCTCCAGTGTTGTGGCGCACAAAACTTACGGTAGCATAATGGAAACACTGATTGAGCACCGACCCAGAAACCAAACTAAGTTGTTTCCAAGTCGGTAGCATCAGCAGTGTGGAAACGCCGTCGGTTAGCCCACCTCTACTAGTTTATTTAATTTAGGAATTCAGTGACGAGCGGTAGTATTCTTAATCTTGAGTCATCTGACTTTGAACAGCACAAAATTCCTCTGTCCTATAATCGTAAGGATCTATGGTTGAAGTATGACGCCCCACACTTAATTTGTCTTTTCAAGAATAGATTTAAAAAATCCTTAAAAACATGCACACAACTCCATTGGTAATAATTCCATTTAGACGAGTTTGATAGAAGTTCAGTCTTCGCAATGTTCGCTAACGTGTTCCATCAATTGTAGCGGATTTGTTAGAAAGATATGATAATATCGTGGTGATACTAGTAGCCTAAATGACGATGGCTTTATAAAGCTATCATCATTTACGCTAATTACTAATACTAATCAATTACGCTAAGCAATTTCGCCCGTTAGTATGACCCCATAGAGTGTTTTCAGAACAGCTCTCATTTTAGCTATCGGTGATCAGTCTAAGCTTTCATCTATACTGCCCACAAATTCAAGACAGTTGTATCCTGTTTGTATTGTTGTTCAGGTTGCTGTGACAAGCGCTATAAGGCTCGTGTGGTAGTTTTTCTATTACCTCGAATGTAGGTCGATCCTTCATCGATCTCTATTGCACTCGGACTCGTTATTGCATTGGCGCTGTTACAGCAGCGACAGTGACACAGTTCAAACGCTGCAATGGAACCCACTACTGTTCATGGGTTCGTTTGTTATCTGTGCGCTGTCCTGTCGAAGGCATATTTACTCAATTGCTGACCGAGTGATGCCTGTTGTCGTGCGGTTTCACCGTCAACTCTTATATACTGTTATTCGGACAGAAGCGGAGGGAGCGCCGTTTGTTCCGTACACTTATCATCATCATCATCATCAGCAGCAGGAACATGACGACCTCCACACGCCTCGTTTCGTGTCTCTCCCCATCTCTTGTTGTGCTGCCCCCTGGTCACCTAGCTCCAATATCTCTAATCGATGTCCTCACCTCATCCTTACCGCGCGCCGCAGTGCCATGTCTCGTTGACAGCGCCGTGTTTATGCACTGTTCGCCCATATAGTTCTCTGTTGCATGCGCCTTGCCGACGCAGTCATCGCCGCTGCTTCTGTTGACTCTTTGCTATGGCTCGTAGCTTGCTATCCGTAACCGTACAGTGAGTGGTCTTGGCAGCAACGGTGGCGCGGTTGGCGCGGGGTCGCTTTTGTTGTCGCTATGTTGCTGCTGCCACAGCTGCTGTCTGTAGCTCCAGCTCTATCAGCTTGTTCGCAAACGTTGTCGAGGCCTTATTGCTGCTCCCCGGCTCGTAGCTTTCGTCATCGCCTGCTCCGCATCATCATTATCATCGGCAGCATCGGCTCTGCAGCAGCAGCAGCAGCCACCTTTCTTTCTTGATCTTTTTCCCTCTTCGACTTCTCGCGCTCTCGTACTCCGTCAGCAACGCCAAGGCCAGCAATAGCAACACGGTGAGCATCGCCACCATTAGCGATTTCGTGTTTACAGCAGAGTCTGCGTAGACCGCGACCAGGTGGCGCTGTCGTCGTCCACCGAGGAAGCCGGTGATTGGCCGGAGCGACCGAGGGGCCTCCCCTCCGGAGGGCGCACCGGCCTCTGTGCGGTCAATCTCACCGCAAGCGAGCACGGGCCAAGAGGTAACGGCCGAGGCGAGCTGAGCGGCTCTGCACCTATCGAAGTACTACTACAAAACCACTGCCATCGGAGTGAGCTATGAACCGACCATCACCAGGAATATCATACTGAGCAGTACGAGCGAATGTTGAGCGCCAAACACTTCAGCAGCTATCGTGTATGTCATTGCTGTTCGTTCACTTCTGCGACAGCGGAACAACTTGAGCTATCAAAAAGATGAGCGCACGCGCGCATTAGAAAAAGCTTCAAGTGTTCACTCAGAGCTATCAAAAAGACAGTGAGGACGACAGTGGCGACTGAAACGTCGGCGATTTTCGTGTCACCGCCTCAGCTACCTGCTGTCGCTGGTGACGCGACGTTTTTGAAAGACACCAACATTTCCATTGGCGTTAAACAGCACGAACGGCTAGAATAGAAGAAGACCACTGAAAATACGTTCCCTTCATCGTGTTCTTGGAGCAGCGAACGTGAACCGCAAGGTTCGCGCACGGGCAGCTGACGAAATCTAAGGGTGCGACGTAATTCAATACAAGTGTCGATTGCCGCGCACTGTAGATCCGACGAATAACAGCAGGAGGTCAGATCTCATTTTGGCGCCAGCGTCAAGTTTTCGTGACGAAAAAAACGGCAAGAGGAACGCTTGTTTTTGACCAGCCTGTGATTTCCTTCGGGTTCAGTCGGAATTTTAGCGTATCCTGCAGCCTGAGCGCTTTAGCTCCCACTGAAAATTGACATCAGTTTATTTCAATCAGCAGGAAGAACAGCAGCGACGAAAACGGAGTCCGCAGATTTTCATGTGAAGATTCTGGTCTTAATTTAGTTTACGTTAAGCGAATCGGAACTTACGTTTCGGCGCAACGGTTCGAGACCGTACCGTTTTCTACCGGCTTTTCGTGGTCTCGGACGACCAGCGTTCTTATATGCCTCCGTCTGTCTTTCCTACTAACGGGGCTCACTCAGTGCGCTCGAACTCGTTGTGCTCAGATCAGTTTACTGCATTGATTCCAGGCACTAATGTGACATCATCCTTGATGCTTTCATAGTTCGATATGCGGTGATTCCGGACCCCAGGCTGGGTGTGTGTATACACTTGCGCCGTCGTGCTTTTGTTTGTGGGGGCGTCATCCTCCTCACGTTGTTCTTGTTAATATTGCTTGTTAATATTTGTTATCACGTCTTACTGACTCGTCTTCTCAGTTCGGCTGCGGAATTCGTTTCGTGGCTTTTTAGTGCTTGTGCTGAAAGGTGGAGTGGCGAAAGTAACGATGCCTACTACTGTCATCGTGTTTTGTCGGATGGAGGCTGTTTCTATTCCGGGAGCAGGACTGATGCAGGCTGTCAACCTGTGGTGAATTGTGAGTGATTGTGATTGCAAAGTGAGAAGTGGAGTGCTTGTGTCTGGTGTGTGTGCGCGTTTTCGGTGAATAGAGCCAGCGCCGCCGCATTGTGGGGCGTTGGACAGTGAAAAAGTGGTAGAGAAGAGTTTTCGCTGGAAAGTTTAGAGCAAAACGAGATCGTGGTACTGGTGTCGTGAGGTCTGCCCTCGCTAGTCGCCCCTATTGGATCTAGCGATATGCCGTCAGCTAGCGAAGCGAACACGTCCGGTGGAGATGACACTCTGGCGTCTTCGGACGAAATCAAGGTGTTTAAAGACGAGGGCGAAGACGAAGAGCGCTCTGAAAATCTTACCGATCTCAAGTCTAGTCTCATCAACGAAGGCGTACGTATTACGTAGTACGACAATATAATCGAGCTACAATATGGTCTTTTATTTTGGCACGACGGCCAAAGAAATCGACATGAACAATCAGCAATATTGTTTAGCTGCACAATGCCGCGCTCTTCTTTAGTGACACAGATTCTATGAGATAGACATTTGAAGTAAAGCTATTCATAATGACCACGTTATGCAGTATGAGAAGGCATACAAGACGAGTAGGAAAAAATCGTTTGTCTTAATTTAACGTACACACATGTAGAGATTTCGGAAGCTTAGTCATATTATATGACGAGACAAGCAATAAATGCTCTAGCATAGTAAAAGATAAGCTACTTATTGGTTTATTAGGTAACAATAACAATAAAAAGTTGTTTAGCATAGTATATTACATACGATAGCAATACTGTGCCCAATTCACGATAGGCGGTGGACATCTGTTTAGCGCGTTCTATGTAGTTGTCGTTGAATTATACGCATTTGCCTGAGTAGAAATGTACGCTATGGCGGTCTTTGGGGATTGTTTCATGCTCCGTTGCTGTGAGACGTGTGGCTATTTATCACGCTGAAAGAAAGTAGCCATTCAGCGGAGTGCAAAACGGTAATGCGGCGCAAGTTTAAAAAAGCGCGGCACAGTTCTATTTGAAACGGAACATTTGCACCAGAGACGTCAATATGTTTTACTGTTAAACATGTATTTGAACAACTTTCACGTTTTTTTTTAAAGACAGCTCAAAAATTTTTCTCATCGAATATCCAGAGCTCTCATTGGCACTCGTTTAAGCCCTCGTACGTAACATGTACACACTGCCATCATATGTTTAGCCAATTTTCTCAGCCCGCAGCTGAACTGTTGTCGGCGACATCCAATGGCCAGTTGCTGGGAACTCAGCTCTTACTGGAGGCAAGCAAACTATCTAAATTCTGTTGACTGTTAAAATAAATACAGACCTAGAACTTTACGTAGGTCCATGTACGGCGGTGCCGCAAAAAATACTTCATAGGAACCCATCTGTTGGCCTATAAATGGACTTGACTGCACATGTGTATCAAGACTATTTTGACTGTTTGATTGTGAAAATCGTGATAAGCGTTCGTAGAGATGCATGTTCGTCAAATATCGCTATGTGATCTTATGTCGGTGATATTGGTCAGTTCGAAACCTTCAAATCAATTCGACCAACTCGGGCCGTTCCGAAAGGAGGGCTGGTTGCGGGGCCGATATCCGAAGGGCGATATCTTGTGTCGTATTTTGTCTCGCTGCATACTCGGAGAATCTATAGAGAGTATCTCTAGCTAGATACGTTTGTTCATGTCGTTGGTGCTGCTGCTGTTTTCGGATCTGGTTCTATTCACCAACTACAGTCGCTCCTGTCGTTGTGATTACTGGTGCCTTTGGCGTGGTCTTGGTCTCCGGCCGATCTTCTTTCTCGTCTTACTGTTTGGTTCCGAGATCCATGTACGAGGCGTAGGTTTTTGCTGGTTTGGCATCAGCAGCATTAACGCGGCAACCACAGCAAAATCCCGTTCATTGTGAACATGAGCCGAGCAACGATTGTGCGGCTGACTCGACCAGTTCGCTCGCTCCCGTTTGCTGCGAGGATCACAGAGGACCGGCAAGGACGAGCAACTAAAAGAAGCAGTAGCTGTGGTGGGGGCAGAGCTTCTGCTAGTGATCTTGAAGAGTAGCCGAGCAGCAACATTTAGTCTATCATCGGGCGACTGCCTGTATTCGGCGATGGACACGACCATGCTGATCTGTTGTGGTCTGCCGGTTCAACATGCCCTTGGTTTCATGTTTGCCTGCCTGCTTGCCTGAGAGCCTGCAGTAGGCAGGCGAAATGCTCGGCCGTCGACGGAAGCCCGCCACAGTGTCTGCAGCGGACTGACAAAATAGTTGGAGGCTTCCAACACCCCCCCCCCCGCCCCGCCCGGCCACGACGGCAGATTCCGGCTAAGTTCATAAGCATAGCGAGGTGCAAATACAACCAGACAAAAACACATGTATACACATTGTTTACGTTGGTTCGCGACTAGCGAATAGCGACATTACCTACACGTTTCACTGTTGACTGCTGTATACGCGGTAACCGCTAAGAATAGAACGAGCTTCCTGCGTTCGAAAAAAGGCTCCACTAGACAGACAAGTTCTTCGTTTGATTGAAATTTACTCTGTCTCGTTCCAATTATCGCTTTAAGAAAACAACTCTGACCTGCGCATAAGAAGTCTATCCTCTTGAATATCGAATCGTTCGATAAATATGAAATGTTCGTTTCTGTCACGCTTAGTAATAGAGCTGCGTCCTTCTGTGTATAGTTAGCGTTTAGATAGTTCTTTATAGTCTGTTCAAATTCTATCTTTCCTTCAAGCCATTTAAAAAGACACACACACACACACACACACAGGCATGACGACGTATATAAATTGGTCCGTTTTTTTTTATTATTCACAATCTATAATCTAGACATTGTGCATAACTACAGTTATGAACATAGGTGCGTTTGGCGGTGCGCCAATCTGTGAAGCTGCGCGTGACGCCGTACACAATTTAGTGACAAGCACTTTTTGTTGGATTCGAGTGAATGACATTCCGTATCACACCGTATCGGGCGTCGATCGAGCGTCATCGTTGTCTACCTGCTTTTCCACAGCTAGAGCCTATCTCGTTAAAATAAATGTGTGTGTGCGCGCAGGCCGACAAACGCCGACAGGCTGACTGATAGGTAGATATAAGAAAAACGAGAATAAATAGAAAAAAAAAAAAAAAGGTTACAGCAGGCATCTCTTTCGCAGTTTGTACGCAAATGAACGTGTGTCTATCGGTCTCTCGTTACGTCTGTGTATAGGAGGTTTACCTGTTTCCTTTATTCCATTATTCCTTTCTTCTACCTACAAACCGATCTATGTGGGGTCAGGTTAGTGATACATGTTCTATAGTTATTCCGTCATCAGTCTAGCTATGGTAACAAGTAAAGCCGGCCTGATAATTCGCGAGCTATGGCTTCTTGAACCTCTTAGGGAGGAAGCCAATGGGCGCAGCTCACACACAAAGTTGATAGGGATCCAACTAGTTCACGACGTATTGACGACTCCTGCGAGAAAGCTAACAGACAGGCAAGGAAAAGGACTATAACGGAACTAACAAAGGTAACAGTAACTGCCGCGGCAGACTCAACAGCAGCCGGCGTCGCACCTATCGCAATCGCTCGGGATCCAGCGGCGCCTTATAGCCCCACCAGCAGCTCCGACACTTAAAACTAAACCACGCCAACGCGCTATGTCCTAACGTAGAAAAAGAGTAATAATCGAACAGAATCTGTTCGAATTATTATATCATCTCTCATAGGTCCTCTAGAAAGCTCGCCTGCAGTCATCTTGCGACTTCCCATAATAGCAAAAAAAAAGCCAAAAGAAAAGAGAACTGCCAGTAATCTCACGATAACAACGATGGCGACGACGACGATACACTCAAGTAACCTATATCTTGTTAGAAGGATGAAAAAAATTATAAAAAAAAAACGACGAGAGGTATAAGGACAGAAAATACGCGGCGGGACAGGGTGGCCTCTCTCAGTCTCGTACTCGACCAGTGTAACCTGTGCGCGCGTGTCCAAAGGTTGTATGGTCTTTTTAAGTACAGAACAACTGTCACTTATCTTACCTTACATGTCCTGACCAGGACAGTACGACGGTCGCCTTCAGTGCAATACTTATCTTCTGTTTGCTTTTTCAACCGTGTGCCTAGAAAATAACGGCCAAATAGGATTTAGGAATAAAACGTGTTGGCGATTTTTGTACACTTAGCATACATTTGCTGTTCAGGATAGTTCAAGAATGATGCCTCTTTGGCCTAATGATGCCTATTGGGTTCGTTTTAGGTAAATAAGATATGTCATAGAGTAACTACTGCTCCTTGAAGGTGGTGATTAGGCTGGTCAAAAAAATTGTTTATTTTCTATAATTGTTTAAATTTTCCTATTGCCGGAGTCTTATTTTAGCCATTGTATACAGCGAGAACTCGAACGGAGGGAACTGCTTGATGTAATGTCTTAGATTACTAAATGCCTCATCTTAGTTCACCATCGTAGGTTGTCGTCAACGTTGTACAGTGAACAATAGCTCGCCGTTTCTGAGAAATGAGCTCTGAAGGCATGACTATGCTTCAGAATGCAATATTACTTTTCATTATCCTTCAAAATGGCGTTCAGCTCCGAGAAGCACGCTGTTACAGTGATAAATTTCTGCATGATGCATCGATATGAGGCAAACGAAGGAATAGAAAACACAAAACTTAGCTCCCTCATGTGAGTTTGATGACGCTAAAAGAGTTATATACGCTCGTATGTAAAAACACTTGATGAATACGAAAACGGACCTGCAAGAGACCCAGAATCCATGCCGAAGAATAGCTGTGTTTTTGATCAGTGGCAACTTCAATTCACATTCGCGTTTCTGCTTTGCCAGACAGCTGCTTCAAGTTTCCAGAGAGAATAAGATAGAAAAAGTCGTAGCAAGTAATGACGAACACTTCGCTTATTATCGAATCATATGACCGCGTCTTTTATCAGGGTAAAGATCAAAGATACTACTTTCTAGCGAACCTAATATTTTTTACTATGTAAATGAGTATACAGGTAACTAACATGGTTTGCTTACTTGATTCAATGCTTCTTGATGTTTATTCCAATGTATTAGATACTGTCCGTAGTAGAGGACACATTGGTAAGGCAAAACGTGTTAGATACTGAATGCTGATTTCTCTCATTGTTTCCAGGATAAGGCGGGGTCCTCGAGCGCATTTGCGAGTACGACAGTTACCGCACCCTCGGCCGAAGGCGGGGCAGAATCACCCCCCGACGCAAAGCCACGCCTCCACACACCCCGGGCAGAACACCCTATCTTCGGTAAGCTGACACGTTACGTTCATTAATTATATGACAACAATAATTATTGCCTGTTATGAAAGTACCGGTGCTGAGAAGTTTCATTTCGTTTAAAGAGCCGCATTCACATAGATTTGCTTGATATACAAACCACTTGGAAAGGACTGAGATGTCCTAGAGTTACATACTATTCAATGCAATCGAATAGTGTGAACGAGTCTGTGTCTCCATCGAAAATGTTCCGTCGAATCTATTTCAAGGAAATCTTCGACGCAAGACGTTTTTGGTCTGGTTTGTTTACTGATGCGGACACCTTTTATCCCCGGTCAATGTCATCGTCATTAAGTTGATGAAGTTCTTTAGTTAAAGTTTTGGACGGTGTTCAATTTACTGTGTAGACACGAGTACCTTTTGTGTAAAGCAGCTTCACTTGTGGATCTAATTATGCAGCCAGTATTTGCGCCGCTTTTGTTGGGGACTGTGCACCTGCCTCGAGAGAGCCACGTGAATCCGCTATCAGATCCTTTTTCGCTGTGAATCGGACAAAACTAGTTACTGGCGCGATGCGACATATTTATGCATGCTCCTCGAGGCGATAAGCACTTGTCCTGATCTGGTTTTCGCCGGTCGGTGTGTAAAAGTCAACTTAAATCGGGTCGGATTGGCTCGAATTGGCCAACAACCACTCATAACGAACCAGATCGAACCTACAATGTTACCAGATGATTGTTATAAGATTGATTTAAACGTCGCACAACAGTAAGTATGCTCATTGTGAGAATACTCCAGGAATAGTAAAGAGATATAACCAGAGAATAAACCAGGAGTAATACTCGAACGATTTTTGTGATGTCCGATGTTTTTTAGTTACTTCAAATCATGGTATACTGCTAGCTCTTTCTCCGCAGTTGTACCTATGTAGAATAAACCCAACCGATCTATTAGCCTAACAGCATCAGTGATATTGCATCATTACGTTTGTACGATAACATCGTAGATACGATGCGTGACTATGACAAAGTTTGTTCTTCTTCTTTGTCTTTGGCGCGCGCTCTCGCTCTCTCACCCTCTCACACGCTCCTTTTCTTTCGGCCTGAAAAAGGAGAACCGACTCCGAAGAGCAGACTCCTTAAACTGCGTGCCGACCACGACTGATCTGTCTATACGAGGTTTGAGCCCTTTCAAGACTGTGTCGCCAACTCGTAGTCGACTGCGCTGGCGGCCATTGAACGTTGTCGAGGCGGCGATGGCGACAATGACGCCGATATTGGTTCTGGGCCCGGTGGAGGCCATGGGTTGTAGACTGCTTTCACTGGGGTGGTCGCTCAGGGCTGCTCACGATGCTTGGCTAAGGCGGCGGCAGTGTGGCATCGCTCTCCGCGACTCGTCGTTGCTCGCTTCGTGGTTCTGGTGTCTGCCTGTCTGCGTGGGCACGATCTGTATCTACTAGTACGTCGAAGAGCTCTGATAAAATGGCTGATAAGACGACGCAGCCGAGAGAAGTGCTAGAGGTAGTGGTGGGGGGAGAGTAGAAGAAGAGACCTACGGCACAGAGAGGCCGGGCGCTTTGTTCCGAGAAAAGGTGTAAATGTGCCCCGGTCAAACAAACGGCCAAGCGAGCGAATCATCAACCCATCGGGTGGCGACGATAGCGACAGATCGAGCAGAAGCGACAACCAGAGTAAAGACTGGACGAAGAGCAGAAGACTGCTAGCAAAGGAGTAGATAAATAATGTACTGGCACATAGAGAAATTCATAAGAAAAAAAAAATAACTAACTGAAATAAACTACAGAGCAGTGTATAATAGATAACAATAGCATTGCTGTTTTTGGTTAGTTTTAGCTTTCCGCTTTAGTGGTCACCGCAGCAAGAAACCTAGGATTAGTAGGTCACCACGAAATCACTGTGATCTCGGAGAGAAAGACAGAATGGCGCGGGGATTGCAAGGTATCAGCATTAGTAGGCTAACTAACAGCAGTGTTCGTCACCGTTTCGCCAATCCATGATAAAATCCTCCTAATGTTATTTAATGCCATATCGGCGTTATATCTTCTTGATACATGTATGCACTGATGAAGAAGTCAGCATGGAAAAAGTAGCAATTTTTACTGGCCTTAGTAATCGTGGACCGTGCCTTTTCTGCGAAGCGGTTACTACTTTTGATTCCATTAACTCAATTCTTCGCGTTGGTCTCAAGTGAAATGTTATATTTGTCAATTATAGGAAAAGGCAACGCACGTAGTTTCGTTTCCACTGAAATTCTCATATTTTTTAAAGAATACCCTATGAACGAATTTCCCAAATTGCTCACCAGGCTAGTAGTATAAAAAATTACCAATAAATCGACTATTTTCATTCGTCAATAGCTAACATTAACCGTTAGTCACGGTTCTCTCTTGAATCACTAGCAATTTTTTTTTTCTCGCTAGGCAGTGCAAGCCATGATCCATGATCCATGCCATGCCATGCCATATCTGGCGTACGTGAGCCAGAGCAGTTGAGTCAGTGGTAGTTGGAGTAACGAGGTTAGATATGCCGTAATAACAGCAGCCCTAACTATATGCGCACATGGGATCTTGCATAAATGTAAATCGATCGATCGATCGATCGATCGATCTAAGTATAGGGAGTCTTTCGTCCGCCTGCGTAATAATAATAACAATTGTTGTCATGACAATGGTACTAGTACGAGCTGCTGTTCCATAGCGGCTAGACACCGCTAGGATCGATTTGGTGATCATTCAATTTTATAAATAATTTCGTAAAACAACAAACAATCGCGGTCGACGTGTGTATGTACGTCAACACTGGTAGTCACGATCGCGTTGGACGGGACCAGATTTGACCAGGATAAAAACTGGGACTATTAAAACGTAATAGGAACGAGCTTGGGTGATTGTGGAACATACCATCTAGGCGCCATTCGGGCACAGTATCTAGCTGTCAATTGTTATTGCGTAAAATTTAAAAAACCCATAGGAGAATCAGTCTCATAGCTTACACGGCTACGCCAAGTTCACCTTTTTCTTTATTTTCTGATTAAAGCAATCGATTTTTGCCAGCAATCTACAGTAGTACTGACATTCGTGTCGTCAGTGAGCGATCTTTTATCACCCCCGACTAGTAAGCGGCATAACTATTATACCAACTGAACGCCTGCTCAAGCGACAAAACGGATTGCAGATCCAGCAGCACGACGAACACACAGACACGAGATAGATCGGCTATGCAAATATAATATGTGATAATAATCACCATGACCGCAACTCATATGTCTGGGACTTACGGGACAGCGGCGCCGTCAGATAGCTACTAGACAGAATTTTTTTCATAGAAATAGAAGAAAATCACTGGCTGGTTTGGCGTGGCAAACGTTCATCCATCCGCGGTGGTAGGGGCAGCAATACGAGCAATAGTTGCCGTGCTAATAACAGCAAACGACCGCCGGGTAGGTTGGTGATCTTTCTCTTGCGAACATTCGAGGAAAGCCCTACCTGCCCATAGCAACGCCTTCCCGCCGATTCCGAGGACGCTTATCTTCCACGATTATGTCGTTCTTCCTTCTTCTTATTCAGCCGTATTGCTGCGGTCGCTACCTGGAGGGCGATAGACGGTAAACGACCAGAAAGAGCCTAACGGTGGCCTTAAACATCGAGGTTCAGAGGCAAGCGTAATGTCGCGCTTTTACGCTACTGTATTTCATCGAAGTCTATTTCACAATGATAATTGTACCCGTAATCATTGTTATAGCCGTAGCGGTGACAGCTGCGATGATTGCTCTCTCTCTCTCTCTCTCTCCCCCGCTGCGGCAGCCGCCAACGACCTAATTGTTGGCAGCAACGAGCAAAGGCTAAGCGGGCTTTATAACCGACCGTAGCGACCCATGTCACAGTTCTAATACAGAGAAAGAAAGCATTAACTTTTATAATGGTCCTGGTCGCCGACGCGCAATGGCAGTGCGCCGAGCACGCCATACTCCTGTTGCCGTCTGTCTTTTTCAATACCGTTCGTTGCCTGCTTCTTACCGCCGGTCCCTTTGTCGGTCTCTATATGGAACTAAAAACACTGTTGCTCGCAACAGCAGCTTTCGAGAAAACATTGCATCAATCTTCCATTGCCTGCTAGTACACAAGCTAGTCTAAATACAGTACGCTAACCTTCTAGTATACTGGCAGTGTATAACAGCTGCTTGTATCGCTGCTAATGATAGTAATGTATGGATAAAAGCTTGGGCGGGCCAACAGTGGCGTTCGTTAATGTCACCACAGTAAAGCCTACTCCATTGTACTGGCCGCCAACGATTGAGCTGTTTCACACCGTCACAAATCGAAGCAGCAGCAGCAGCAGCAGCAGTCGCAGTGTTGTCTGGCGACGCCATCTGCACTCGAGGGTCGCCGTCGTCGTCGTCGTCGACGACGACGACGACAAGGACGAAGACAGTAACAAGGCAAGAAGTGAGCGGCCCTGTAGAGGCATAGGAAACAGAGAGATTTACTATATATACAAATCAACCTGCGTGTCCAGCCATTGAGTCAGATAGCTCGGCCGCTCATGTCACATGATGTCTTAGCGAAACACTAATTTACATGTCATTCTAACATATATAGAAAACAGAGGAGTCATAATAAGGACGTAAAAAACTGAACCAGAAGACTGGTGTAAACGAAAATAGTTATAGCAGAAGATGAGTATGCATTTGAAGCATGTCTTAAGTGTTGTGATGATTTCTTTCAGGCTTCGACACCTTTGGATACCCGGGAGGATGGCCGCTTGGAGGCGGAATGGTAAGTCTAATACGTAACGTTAAAAAAAAAGAAGCATATTTTCTATTAGCACAAGAACCGTGACCGCCTTCGACACGGTCAATTAGTCACCGAGGGCGGTTGTTACAAGTCAAGGGTTCAGACCGTGAGTGTTCTTTAGCCTTCAAAAACATCTCAGCATTTTGAAATAAAGTGAATCTCGACTAGTTTGAGAGCTCCATGCCTGGAAGTAATATCGATGACTGACGCGTTACGGAAAGGCTCATTAAGGCAGAGAGTCGTAACGGCTTTAGTGCCACAGTGAGTAACAACTTCTCATAACGCCTTTGCGATAGACGCAAGTGAATGTTTGCGGCGCTGTCTGGGTGTACCATTTGGTCGCTCAGTGTTGTTCTAGCCCCAAGGCATCACTGATTCACTAAGTGGGTGTGGAAAGATGTACATTTTAAATTTTGCACTAGTTAGTAGAAATAGGGAATTCGGAGGCTGCGGAGTTTCGTCGGCAGAGTCAATATATCTCTCTGCCATGCTACGTCAAAGGCTCTGTATAGCCTTAGAGAATCTTTGGCGTCTACACAACTCAGGAAAAATTACGATTTAAACGTATAAATTCTGCGAACAGAGGCAAAATACTGTTCTTTTCTCATACGCTGTACTCGACTAGTCCATAGAAGACTGATGCCGGGGCGAGTCTATGCGAGGGTTGAATTTTGTGTAATTGTGCCAGCGAGAGGATTTGCGTTTATGACGACAATAGCGCTGGCTCCGGTCAGCAGCCTGAGAATCGTCGATGGAATGAAAGGTGACAGTAAATGTTCCTATGTGTTCGCGCAAGTATGAAGATGGAGCGGTAGACCGAAGGATGGGGGGTCACAAGGTATTTGGTGTTACGTGCTACGATCGTAGTAGTGATTGGCCGCGCCTGTTCATACGCATTGGCACACACACGCACAGTGTGATAGACAAGCTGAAATACATGCATAGAACGTGATGTTGTGGACGGTTTCGATAGAGGCATTGTTGTGCTGGACTCCTCTATCCGAACCTCATTTTCGTGGCGGTTCGGCGCACAAACCAGCCTCACCGAGAGAGAAACGGAGACATCAAGAAGGAGTGGTAGGTCGGGTCGGGTCGACCTGCGATGCACCTGCACTTGGTGCGAAGCCAAAAGACCGTTCGTTTGCAAGGACAGCGACAGATAGCAATGACTATTGACTCGCCGAGAAATTCCTGCGCGGCGCTGCTCTCTGTTCTGCGAGGAGCAATGGTCTCTATCCAGATTTCTACAGGTTCCTGCGGATCACTGTATGTAGCTAGTCTTTCAAAGGGTGGGATACTATGGGGTTCATGGAGAATTCGGGGGTGGCAGTTCACTTACGAACACTAGTCCGTCTCCCGTGTGCATGATAAAGAAATGTGACCGATCCGCAGGACAGCTAAGCCAGAGTCGTAGAGGGTGCTTGTTTTCGTATCCAAGTTGCTTTTCGATCAGCTTCGCTCTGTGACGCCACGGACGAGCCCCCAAAAGTGAACGAGAGCCGATGGAAAGAACGAGATGAGGTCAAACACTCCACCGATTTTTCTCTTTGTCCCGCGTTTTTGATCGAAATTGAAAACGCTGAGAACATCTAACGTTTTTAGGATTGTAGGCATCAGCGGCACGTTGGGTAACAATGCGCAAGTATCCGTACATACATACATTATTTGGTTATAATCGAAATACGAGATCTTCCAAGGTGTACTACATATATATATA